CTGATGTTTTGAATATTAATTATGTTTTTCTACAAACGTGCTTTTGAAAAATTGGGTGGACAAGTTAAAAAAAACGTGGATCTTTTGTAATAGGTATACTAAAATATTTACAAAAAATATTAAAATACCTACTCTATTGACTGATGACATCAAGTTGTCCTACTTTTGTAGAATCACCCATATAAATTATCATATTATGTATTACCTAACCCTTTTGGTATATTTTTGACCACCTCTAAGATAACTAACTATACACAGAATTTAGATGGTCTATATTTTACATCATTAAAAATATCCAACAGTAATTCATAAATTATTTTTTAATTGATTTCCAAGTAGCGATAAGCCCTTCGGTTCGAAAGTTAAGTAAGCCCGCATTGAATGCGATATCGTTTATTAATTCTTTATAAACGTGTCTGTTATAATAATTATACCATAATAATTATTATTAATAGATACGTTAAATTATTTGAAATGTAACAGTTGTTCTCATATTAGGATACAATTTTAATCTATTGTTATTATCATTCCCTGCCGAAAATGACCCATAGAAACCAATAAGAGAATGAAATGGTTTGTACTGGACTGAATATGTGTATTGGTACTGGTTTTTATTGGGTTCTATGTGTCGCCAAATGGTTTTAGGGCTAAATGGGAAATACCCAATCAAACCAATTCAAGAAATTATGTTTTCCAATTGATACCAATTCACCAGATTCAAACCTATAAGACCCAATACATTACAACATAAATTCCCATTGGTTTCTATTGTTCTTAAATCGGCAGGGTTTCTGCATGTTTGGCAAATGTCAACTTCAATGCCATACATTACAACATTGGGAATATCTAAACAAATAGACTTATTCAAAATCATAGAAGTTTGGTAAAATTATTTTAAACATTTACCTGCAATTTTTGACAACATTATTAAATCAATAAGAAAAATGCTGTTTTAGAAAGGATTTTAACAGTATGGGACGTAAGTAGACATAATTTAACCCTAAAATCCTTATACCCTTGGTGCAAGGGTAATTCGATGCGAGTTCTTTCAAAAGAAGCCTTCGGTACACTCATAGATATTACATGAAGTCTATACAACGTATATCTCGTCGTAGACCGCAAATGGCGTAGTCCTAATATATTATTCAGCTTATAGAGCGAGGCCCTCGACGTGCGAATTTTTATCGCATATTTGCGACTTTATGCATCGTTTTTACAAATAGTTTACACTCGGACTCATTTTGACGATCTTTTGTGCACATTTTTTTATCTGTCGCGCAATATTTATTCAAAAGAATGCAGAAAATGGCGAAAATCAAGTTTCGTTTTTATGCGTCTTTTGAATGAAAATGCAGACAAAGGGAAAATTAAGTGAGGGAAAACGAGACGCAGTCGTTTATTGTGAGGTTTTAATTAAAAACGAAATAAGTCAGGCTCATTTAAATGATATTAGTTATTTCAAATTAACGAGCTTTCCCTAAAGTTCTAAATACCTTTAAAATGAAAATAAATGATTACTTAAACTTAATGTTGTGGAAATTCCCAAAATATATTCATAATATATCGAAAAGTATTAGATACATATGTATATATACCTTTATTTATTGAAAACAAGGACACTGAGGTGAATTTCTACTAAAAACATGAGTGTGAGAAAATATTGACCAAATATTTTACAAAATTATTTTTTAAAAACTCTTAGGGTCGTCCATAAATTACGTGACGCAAATTCCGACCTAAATAAAAGCGTGACAAGTCCAACACTCCTCCTTCCCCTGGGGATAATTTTTTTATATAAGGATACCTACACAGTTTAATAAGAATTTTTCAGTTTAAAATTTAACAAATAGTATAATGATTTAGGAATGTATACGTTAATTTGATTGTGGGACAAATAATGTGTGTTAATGTTGATCGATTTCGATAAAATTTTACAATTTTTTTTTTGTCTGCAAAAATAAGCCCCACCCTAATACAGTGTGTACGATTCAAGACGGCAACACCACATTATTTTGGAAAGAGCTCCAATTATTTAACCATGCAGGAAAATTGTGAATTTTATTTTTTTCAAGGCCTGCTAAGACCTGCTGGATGGGTCTAAATTTAGAGAAAAACCATTAGGCAATTTTTTTTTTTCGAAAATATGGATAGCAAATTCGATTTAAACGTATACAAATTTTAGAGCATAAAAATATGAAAATAAGTCATGCTGTTTTTTCAGAAATTCTGAATCAGAATATACGTTTTTTTTTTATTTCGAGGGGTTTAGTCCCCGTTAGATATCTGACATGACCTCGGACATGGCTTTAGGTCAAATGAATAATTTACTTTTTTGTACGTAAGTATGATAGATTTTTACCGGGCCTTAAAAAAATTCTCGAATTTTCCCCAATGGTCAAATAGAGCACTAGTGCTATGTCCCAAATATTAATATTAATATTAATAATTATTAAAATCGGTCAACGCGTTTCAAAATGGTGTTGAAGTCTTAAATAGCACACCTACATATATGTATATATATATATACCTATAGGTAATATTTTCATTTAATATTATATTATATTATATTATTATATTAACACGCATTCTTGTATATTCTATAGAATATACTTTTTGATTTTTAAAATGAGGTACCTACCTAATGATAATAAAGAAATTTTTATTCAATGGGTAACTGGCGTTTTTTTAATGATAGTAGGTAGGTATCCTATTCCTATAGGTAATAAGTTATTACAAATAACAGACCGAAAAGCATGACTAATAAGTATTTATATTTATTGTATAGTATACCTACTTAAATGTTTGTTTAAAAATAGGAAAAACACCCAGTAGATATTTTCCAATTTATTAAAAAAAGTTTAAATTGTTCTTTATGCATTAAAATTGTATTGGTTCTTTAAATGTTTTAAGGTTATCTACACTGAGAAAAAAGTTTATTGCTCCCAAATAAAAAAAATATTTAAATATGGGACAAGGGTACAGTTTATTTATCCTAAATATATTTTTATTCCCGACACATAAAGTTTTACTGAAGTATATATACTATAAATATATTTTTTCGCCCAGCACATATAAAAATGAATCATATATATATGATATATATCAAACCTAAAAATATGACCGAAAATAATATTTATCGTCCCTAGGGCCGCTAAACTTGATTATTTCACAATCTAGACACCTTTGACTGACATTTATGTATTTTGACATTTTGACATTTGAGATTTTCAGACGTTTGTGTAAATCAAAATAAAAACGGACAACAAAAGTATAAAATAACAATAAAACTTAATTTAAATTTTGTAATAAAGTAAAAATGAATGGTAACTCGGACAGTGACGAAAAATTTACGAATACTTGACCAGATTTGAAAAAGACAATGCGTTGCAACGGTACGAAAAGTGCTATGAATTATATAAAAACTGGAAAAAGGATCAAAAACCCAAAAACTTAACAGAAAATGTATTAGTTGCTTATCTATCGGAAAGATCAAAGATAATTCTAATGAAACATCAACTTCATCTGTAGAAATAAGCCTTCAAATTCTGGTACTATCCACAATTGTGATCAAGGCATAATTAACATTAATTACAACAATAAATAAATTCGTAAATTGTTACTGAAGTTTTTTATAAAATTCCGTTTATATTAATACAATTTAAAAAAATATGCTAGGCGAAAAACAGGTGTGTGTCACACATTCAGAAAACGCATTAGCAGCCCTTAGCTATCAACTGCCCTCGCTTCGCTTCGCTCGCTCAGGCAGTTAATAGCCGCGAGCTGCTAAAGCTAGTTTTCTGCCCTTGAGACACAATATACTATATCGTTATTATTTCGACTATTTAGAGGTAATAAACAATATATTCACTATTAATAAAAGTATTAGCTACACAGTTTATTTGTCCCATTTTTTTCTCAGTGTACCTATTTCTTGCAAGGTAATAATTCGGTTTGGGAAGCAGGTGTAGCGAAACGCGCATTTAATTAAAAGTTGAAAGGATACCTACATCCTACCTCTTTTAAAATATATAACGCAAGGGTGCAATATATTGCATTTTAAATTAGAACTTCAACGTGGGTTAAACGGATATTTTAATCTTTAATTTAAAATTTTATTTTTATTTGCCAGATTGCACCTATTTATCTGCAAACAAACAAAGAACACGCATAAGCATGTCTCAACATCCGAGCAATTAAATTTAGATAAACATCCTATTTTGGGTAATATTAAACGTGTTTAACTAAAAAGGCAAACCCGATTTAAATGTGCAATTAACTGGGTACAATTTTAAAAATGCCGTTTATTATTTGGAAAATACGAGCAGAAAAGAAAAACGGATAAGTAGGCGTGGACGGTACATAGGTACCTGTTTATGTTTTTAAAACAAATTGGCTTTTGTTATCCAAAATGTTCTATAGGTAATTTAAGTAAGTATAAAAGGCACCTAAGAATTTATCGCGTTGTTTGGGAATGTTTAATGTAAATAAATGATAACTGTACGTATGGTGGGAAGATAATTGTCGTCAATTATATAGAAACACAGGTAATATTTATCGTTTAATAAATATTGCGTGGTTGTAACAATTTAAAATTGTAAAAACCCGTTTTAATTGTATTGAAAAAGTCAATAAGGCCAAGACGTTCTCTTGTCAGATTCCCAAAACAATTGAAGGCCTCTCTGGGATCAAGTAATGTTAACTAGACTGTGTATACAAATTAATTAAAGCTAGATGTGTGTAAAATTTAGACTCTAAACAATTATCCTAAAAGCGTTTTAAGTTAAAACATAAGAAAATATTAATCAAAGACAAAATCCGTTTGACCCAGTGCTGAGAATCCGGTGCAATGAACGTGTAACAAAGTGGGACGTAGGTCGTAGCCCGTCAGAAATCTGTGCCATACATTCCCACCCATGGTCATTGATCTCTGTTTTATCGTGTTTGCGAGTTGTTTTTGCGAATTTTGAACATACAAAACGAAGGATAATGGCAGCACTTACATTCATATTATGTGGAAAATATTTAGTCCGTCAGGAGCAGCATCGGCCAAGTTTAATGCATATACACAAACACACACCCAACAACAACAAACGCGACTGTCATAATACTACTACGGCAACTGCTTATTGTCGACTGAGTGACTTGTTCGGCGCCGCCGTTGGACTACCCGAACGGAATCCAACAAGCATGTAACCGGTATGGTGTAAACGCAGTCGCAACAACCACCCGAAAAAGTGGGTGGATTTGTGCAAGAGATCTTCTCTTTATAATCTGTGCTACCTGCCTTGCCTAGACAACCAGAACAACTATTTTCTTCAGATGGAATCTAAGACGGATCTGCAAACAAGTGCAGTAAATTGTGTCATCTATAAAGGAATGACCATTTTTGCTTTCGCTCTCAAAATGGCAAAAATAGTGATAACCTGACGTAATACCCATACAGCACAAGATGTCCATTGGACGTCAAATGGACTTACATTGGACGTTTGGATGTACAATGGTCGTCCGCTGGACGTCCAATGGATATATGTGCTGTCTGTGATCCATCGTCGTAATCCATCGAGCACAAACGTCCTCATGACGTCCTTGGACTAGCCTTATGTCCCAGAATATCCCATATGGGATAATCCTATTAAAACGTTTTAAACGTTTTAAAACGTACGTTTAGTTTGATATCCTGGGGGATCATTTAATGGCCCAGAATCGGATGAAAATATTAATTAATTAATTAAGTAATTACAAATATTAATATTATCTTAATAGTTAAAATGCCCAATACTAAACATAATTGCTAAAAGAAATCCTAAAAAACAAAATAGGTACCTAATTAACAAAGTTATAAACAAATATTATAACAACTATATATATATATATATATATAAAGGGTGTCCCATTAAGACCGCCTATTTTAAATTTAGTGTCATTTTTTTTGTGTCAATCGTACAGCGTTGTTGTTGGACAGTGGTCATGTGTGAAGATTTACACGGACGCACAACGCATAGAAATTGTAAAAATCCACTATCGAAATGGTGAGAATTTTTCGGAAACGGTTTGAAGATATCGTGGATTTTTCGATCACCTTTTCGCCGTACTGTGGTCCGAATAATCCAGCAATTTAAAACGATTGGGTCAATTTAAACCAAAAAGAGACATATCCGAGTTCGTGCAGCTCGGTATGCTGAAAATAATGCAGCAGTTAGTGAAAGTGTTAAACATAATTCTTCCTCATCGATTCGCCACCGTTTCCAGCAATTGAGACTCCCTCGAAGCAGTTTACAGCGAATTTTGGCCAAAGACCTGCATTTTCATGCGTACAAGATTCGGTTGAAACAATATTAAAGACAGCAGACCATGCACAGCAACGAAACCATGGAATTATTGAGGACAAAATTTGAAGGCAGAGTTATCTCGCGCCGTAAGAATGTGATGTGGCCAGGCCGATTATGCGATTTGACGCCGTTAGATTTCTTTCTTTGGGGTTTTTTGAAGGAAAAGGTTTATGCTAATAACCCAAGAACAGTTCCTAAACTAAAACATGAGATTCGACGGGTCATTGATGGAATTGAGCCGGCACCCCAGATAGCACAAGATGTCCTGAGGACATCCGGTTTAAATCCTTTACAGACGGTCGCGACCAGAAAACCGATGGACGTCCTGAGGCCTAGGCCTATGGACGTCCTAAGGCCTAGGCCGATGGACATCCTGAGTACGTCCATCGGTTTTTTGCCTGCGACAATAGTTGAAGATACAAGTTGATATATCACCCTTTATAAAGGCCTTTATAAAAGGTGATATATCAATTTGTATCTTCAACTATTGTCGCAGGCAAAAAACCGATGGACGTACTCAGGATGTCCATCGGCCTAGGCCTTAGGACGTCCATAGGCCTAGGCCTCAGGACGTCCATCGGTTTTCTGGTCGCGACCCGGGTCTAAGTGAAAAAAAATTACACCTTGTTTTTTATTAAAAATACTCCTTAATCAAGCAAGATAAAAGATTTTAAAAAAAAGTTGTCAATTTTTTTCACTTATATGTCTATAGATAGACCCTTTATCCACTTAAGTGGAATTGTGTCTTTAGTTGTCAAGTATTTTTAGCAATTGCAATTTTCCATATCTCTAACTTATTTAAAAATATCTAGTAAAATTAATTAATTCATTGCATTAAAAATATCATTACAAATTTTAAAAAATTATTTTTAATTATATTATATATATTAGGTATATTATATTTTTAATTTGTTGAATAAAAAATATCACATTGGCCAAATTAATAATTTGAATTAATAATATTATATGAGAAATGTATAATACGAATTAAAAATACCATTGGAGAAATTTCTCCACTTTAACATTTAAATTATTTAATTTGTCCTATAATATTTTTAATGCAATAAATTGTAAGAGTTTATTTCAAATTTACCGCCAAATAAACAGTTGGTATTGGAAGTAACCAGTTTAGTGACTTTAAGTTGGCAGTCTGAAATCCGCCATGTTGGCATTGTTCATAAAACAGCGTGTGCTGTTTTTAGTTAGCTCCCTGTTTAGTTAAATTTCTGTGTATTTAAATATATGATATAAGTGAAAAACAACTTTTATTATATGGAAAAACCCCTACAAAATTTAAGTTTTCACTTGATATTTTTAAATAATTTAGACATATGAAGGTATGTGAAATTCAATGGAGAAATAAATAAAAATAGTACCTATTATGAAAGGTTTATTGTTTTAACTTAAGGAATATATGGTTAACGGATTGACCTCCTTTTCCCGGACACCCTGTATATATATATATATATATATATTAACAAAACACTTGTTAACACTGTATTACATTTCCCTATTATAATAAAACTATGTCCTAATTCGGTCCTCATATGTCCCGAATTGGACAGCTTGGGGTCAAATACGGACGTCCTGAGGACATCCTATTTCGGAAGTCTGTGGACGGTCAAATACGGACGTCCTGAGGACATCTGAAACAGTCTATTTCGGAAGTCTGTGGACGTACTACGAACGTACTTTTGCAGACCCCGGACATCCTGAGGACGTTCGGGTTGTCCTGGGTGGAAGTCCTACGAACGTCCTACGAACGTACTTGTGCTATCTGGGCCATAGTACTATGGCAAAATGTAATCGAAAATTTTGTCAAAAGAATCAACGTGTGCCCTCAGTCACGGGGCGGCCATTTATCGGATATTGTGTTCCATATTTAACCTCCATGTCTTCCCTCTTTATTGCAATAAAAATATCTTAACTTTTTAAATAAACACGGCATTTTTTTTAAATTTTAAAATAGGCGGTCTTAATGGGACACCTTTATATATATTATAGTTGTTATAATATTTGTTTATAACTTTGTTAGTTATAATAATAGTTGCTTATTATGCGTTAATTTTGACGCGCAGTGTAGTTATCAAGCGCTCGTAATTACGCTTAGGGGACATCCATTAATTACGTGAGGCATTTTTTTGATAATTTGGACCCCTCCCTCCCCCTTGGTAAGATTTAAATCTCACCAATTGGTGAGATGTGGTAGACCCCCCCAATCCCTTACCGGGGGTTCTAGCCATTAATTAAAGGTTAACCTTTCATAGCGGACAACATGATAAACCCAAAAAAAAAATAATTAATAATTTTTTGACAAATTTGAATTATAATAGGTACTTCTATTCTTTGAACCCAAAAGTTGACGTGAGATTTTAAATGACCCCCCTCCCTTAACATGAGATTTGGTGAGATTTTGCTAGACCCCTCCCCCCTATTTTGATCTCACGTAATTAATGAATATCCCCTTACGCGCGCTTGATAACTACACTGTGCGTCAAAATTAACGCATAATAAGCAAGTTAGCAGTTTGGATTTTGATGTCAACTCAGGCGCGTGCTGGCCCACCGGGCGACCGGAAGTTTCCCGGTGGGCCCTCAAAAATTGGTTAAAAGGGGCCCCACGACCCCTACGCGCGATAAGTTTAAGTTATCAGTTATTAGCAGGTTATTATAATAGCTACCTATAGCTTTCCGAGTTACATAAAAAATTAAATCAATCACAAACGGAACGATGAAAATCGTTCCCAACAAGTAACAGAAGAGTAACGAAACTTAAGGTAAAAAAACTAATAAAACTCTAAGCAGAACCGAAACACCGGGTATGGAAACGAAACCAGCAACCCCACCTTAAGGTTTTCGTTACTAATTAGTAACGAAATCGTAACAAAGCCTCTTGGCACAGAAACTAAACCAGTAACGTTTCTTGTGTTTAGAAATTGTAATCTAAGTAACAGCATGTATAAAAAAAACTAGTAGGTACCCAGTAAGGTTTTCTATTGATGAATAAATAAATTAGCGTTCTCATAAAATACCCTTATAACTTTGTAAATATTAGTATATTGTGCATTGCACAATGTGCAACTTGTGGGAGAAGAGGAGATTCCTCGAACGTGAAGTTATAATATAGTGCGTGGAATCTCCTCTTTCGACTATTCAATTACCGCAAGAAATATAAATTCTTACCTGCTCGACATGGTCATCAGGTATACCTATAGGTATAATATAATTAATCGACTTTGCTGCATGACTTACCCACGCGTCATAATTGCGCAATTTAGATGCGCATATAACTCGCACGTTTTTTCGCTCAATTTACTCGCGCTACTTACAAGCTTAATTTGCCTGCGCAACTTACTCGTGAGTCTTACTCGCGTGTTTTACCCGCGCGACATACCTGCGGCTTTCTAACCTGATGTACCTGCGCGCTTTACTCGCGCGACTTACCTGCGTAGCCTACATGTGAGTTTCACCCGCGTGACTCACTCGCACATGACTCGTGTGGCGAATGGCATTTCGCAAACGGGCCAAAGTATCAAAATCTATAGGTTTGAACAGGATCTCTATGTAACATTTTAACCATCAATTGATATTAATCTTGTCTTGATAATACTTAAGAATCTAATTTACTAAACCTTGGAAATAAAACCCGCTAACCTATAAACTTGGGCAATAAACCCTATAACTTATAAATCTATATTTACTAAGGAGGCCAAGATATTTCCTAAAAACTGAAAAAATGTATTTTTGCGTATATATATTTGCAAAAATAAATTGTCTGGTTGTGCAAATTTGGTTTTAAATTTTTTAAATATAATAGGGACCCTTTTAATCCATGAAGAAAAAACAGAGTGCCTTGGCATGCAAGGTCAGGCCCATTTTCACAACAGTTTGACTGGACTAATAAGTTTGTAGGATATGGTTTATAAATAATATGTCATGTTTTGTTTTAAAATGTGTTTATTATTTAATAAGGCTTATCAAATTTCCATATATACAAATGCTAATTAATGTAGACATTTCATTCCATCAGTTTTACAGTCTGATAATCGAAATCGCTATATTGTATGATAACTAGAATTCGAATTATTCCTAAATACCAACTAAACTTATTTATTTATTATTTTTTGCATGAAATTATATTAATGAAAGATTACATTAATTGTTAACAAGATATTTTTATGAACAAAAAAAGGTTGCAAACTAAGTAAGTGATCTGTTTTTGTTGCACTATTTAAGTATATATTCGAAAATAAGGGAAATACTTTCTATACAGGGTGTAGATAAGACAACTGCCATAACAGATGATATTAAACTTAAAGCAGTATATTGTAATAATTGGCACAAGTGTATAAAATAATATTTGAGCGCATTTATGATTATGTGCCTTTCTACTGAATGTATTTACAAGATTATCACTCAACAATCACAATACCCTTAATTTTTGTCAATCATAAACATCACCTTCATGAAACAAAATTTATTAAACTCAAGTTTATAAGAAAGAAAGAGTGCGGCTTAAAATAAATATGATCACACGAAACCAAAATTCTTTGTTTTAATGGCCAGCAGCAGCTTTTGCCTGAGTACGGTTCTGCTGCTGTATAAAGGAATATAAAGTCGGGAGATGCAAGTGTTGGCTGTCGGCAAATGGGCGTCATCTGCAGGGCGAATTGTTACTGACGGCATAGGTTGGAAACCGTCTTCACTAGCCGGTAGCGCTGGTGAACCTGTCCAAAAGTATACCTGAAAATAAATTAATTTATCAACCAATAATAAAAACAACAAATTTAATGTCATTATTGCATTTTATTACGGGTTTGATTTAACGGCTCGGCAAAAAAGGGCGTATCAACGACAAATTTCAACGACAGAAAAATATGTATAGCGACCATACAATTTTTTTCGAGCTTTAGTAAACATTTATATGTTGAATTGTCTTCTATTTTTTTCCTCTACTATCACGTGACCGATATTATTAAACCGAATATACATGGGTAATGCGTTTTTAGATGGTCGCCTATAATTTGATGTTGAAGGAAAGTTTTCACTTGGTCCCGCTATATGTTTGCATTGAAAATCATCTTTGATGGCCATTTTCATAAGACTTAATTTTTAAATGTGATATTTTTTATTTGTTTGCCAAATTTTATATTTTCCAGGAACTTTTGCATATTTCGTTGTCATGCAAATCAACACTTTTCACATGCTGATTATATTTGTCTGAGAAATTCAATTGTTTTTTTTCTGTCCAGTTGTACTTTTTGGCGTTTAAGGTTCAATAGTGCAGTTATTGGTTACAACTGTCACCAAAGAATTATCGTTCCGTCAAACTAACAAAATTGTATGTTCATCGTCAAAAGAAAAATCATAAATACCACTAACAACTTAGTCAGCGTTCCTCTAAACCCACGACTTATGCGCTTACGAATTTTGTAAAAAAAAATATTTCAATTTTGCGAGACATTTTAGATTGGAGACTTCCTCAACAACGCATTTTGTAAAAAAATGTTCTAAGTTTGCGAAGTTGAACGATAATTTATAAACTAAACTAATCGAATAAAGTTAAGCATATTAAGATATTTTGACCAAAACATAAATTTAACGATACAATTTTATACGCCCTGTATACTTTATTTTAATATTTGGTAATAAAAACGTAAAAATGAAAGAATCTTAGACAAAAAAGAACGAAGTCGAAAAAACGCATTTTAGGTATCAGTCGGTATCCAGTTTGATTTCAACTTTGTTCAAAAATATGCTTAACTTTTTTCGATCAGTTTATAATAAGTCGACGAAAATGTTATTTTACAGCAGTTTTAAAATCCCATTGAGTGCGGAATAGTATATTCTGTAACAAGGTTGGAATACAGCATATTCCCCTCAAGTAAAAAGTTTGTCACACGAGACGAAGGCGAGTATGCTGGTTTTACGAAAGCGGAATATGCAATTCCAAATGTGTTTCAGATTAATGGGTTAAGATTAAAATTAGCAAAACACAATGTTGTGGTATATTTGGTATTAGGTAGCTTATTTATTTAAAAAAGTTTATTTCACTCCTGTCTCAAAATTTAGTGGTAAAAATAAAAAAAAAAATAATACTCTGTAAGTTTCAGATCTTAATGTTAAGTACTTTCCCTTGGCGTCAAAAGATTTCCCATTATAAATACAAGTAAACTTTGATTTCTTTTTTTTTAAACTCAGCGGAAATTTATGCTACTTTTGTTCAAAAAAGCATTTTGCTAGGAATTAAACGATTTACAAAAGTGCTCATTGCAGCGTAACTGTAACTTACATTGGTAAGCCACTAAACTTGTTTTTTGCTGTTATTTCATAAATGACTAGACTAACACGAAAAAATTAAAATACAAATTTGTAGAAAATTATTTTTTTTACAAAAAACATCCTATAAACTGAATCTCTAAGATTGACATTTCTCGAGATATTGAGCTTTCACTTATTTGTGATATGAAATTTGTACAAATTATAATCCTAGATAATTATCCAGTCATCTGACAGGTTCAATAACTCAAAGATCTTTTTTGTAGAAAATTAAATTTCCTATAAAATTGCCATTTCCTATAAAATTGCCATTTATAAAATAACAGCAAAAAAACTAAAATTGTGTGAGTTACAGTTACGCTGCAATGTGCACATTTGTAGATCATTTAATTCTTAGCAAAATGCTTTTATTAACAAAACGTTATAAAAATTTGAAAAAAACAAATGATGTTTGAAAATAAAAAAGCACCCTTATGTTGAATGTCTAAATTGCGCAAACAAAACAATGAATCTGAAGTGTAAACAAAACAAATCTGTAATTTTCAATAAAATTTAAAAAAATCCCAAAAAGCAAATTTTAAATCAATGTTTAATCTACAACAAATAAAATTTACATAAACTGTAAATTCCAGATTAGCTGCAAATTAACATAATCTAGCTCTATTTTAGCGACCAACTTTAAGAATAAACCTTAAGCTGGTGGATTGAAGAGCTGTTAAAAATATGAATAGCATTTTTTTACTCACCAAATCTTGTCGCTCAAGATGAGACATTTTTTCGACAATCGACCAGAGCCACCGTTTAAATTTAACAAGCCTCTCGATGTTCTCGTTCGATTCGTCGTTAAAGGAAGTGTAGGAAATTAGAACGGCAACGTTAATGTCGCCTACGCCGTTAAGGAGGAGGCGAAGATCTTCGGCCGTTAAACCGTCCAAAGAACCTTCCGGTAAAACGTCAAAAACTCCAGAACGAATACTCTGTAAAAAATGTAACAGTAAGTTGAGTAATTTGAAAATTGAGTAAGCAAACAAAAAAGCCCAATTTTTCTTTATTAAAGATAACTTAAAACTTTAACTTTATTTAACTTTGTCACAATTACAACAAATAAAATTCACATTAGTAAACTTCTGAATAGTTGTAATTTTTAATGATCTAGCTCCGTTTTAGCGACCAGTTGTAGGATTTTTTTTCTAAACTGGTGGATTGAAGAGCAAACTTACAATATTATATAGTCTGACTTACCTCTATTGCTTTTTCTTGGACCTTAATCATCCTGTACTTGGCGTACTTTCTGACGTAATCGTACACGTTAGCTGATGTCACTTCCGTTTCCTTACCGCCGGGCATGATTTCAACTGTGCCGCCACCTTCTTCAGGATTTAAATCGATCCTAAAGATAAAAGAAATGGTCAAAATTTCTTATTATATATTTTTTTGTCCTGGCCTGCAGTAAAAATAAAACGTTGAATTTTAATTAACAAATTAATTCTTTATTACAAATTAAAGTATCATTGAAAACTAAAAACAACATAAAAAGTAAATAAGTAACAATATAAATTGTTAATTTGTTTTATAATGCCAACATAAAGTTTTAAAACTGTCATATTATTGTGTTTCTTAGTTGGCAGCACAATATTTAAAATTATAATTTTAAAAAGTGCTAAAAACGTTTTTTAAGATTTACATAAAAAATATACTGTAATAATCAATGGAGTTTAAAAATGAATTTTTAAAAAATCTATAGAACATAACATTTGCGCAGAAGTGTTATTTCCCACAGATTTCCCATAGATTATTTCACAAATTCCAAACTTAAAAAAAATTGGATCATGTTAATGGCTTAAATATAGATTATCATGAAATGCAAAATAAAAAAAATTGCGTATGAAAACAAATGTAACTTTAAACATTATTTTCTTGGAATCTGTGCTGCAAAAAATCTAAAATTATTTGGGAAAAACGGGATTTTTTGTAGGCCTTGAAAAAATTGTCTTTTTTGTAAAAAAAAAATTGAATATTTTTCGGAAAATATACATATTTTAATAAAAGTAGCCATCAAAAACTTAACATTATATTAATGTAAAAAAATGTTATTATAGATAAAGAAAAATAAAAATTTAATTGAATTTAATTTAATTGATTTAAGAAAATAAACGTAAACGTTAAAAAAATTTTAACGTTTACGTTTATTTTCTTTTCTTTTTAATAAAAATACGGTCGGATAAGTCCTTTTTGCAAAATTTAGCCAAAAATGTTAAGAGGCTTTTTTTGTAAAGCATTTGATTTCCCATAAAAATATTTATCAGTTCTTTTCTGGGTCCTGATTTTTACATGAATTAAAAAATTCCAAAGTTAAAAGATCAAAATGTAAAACTATACCAATTTTTAAGGCATGATTTTAAGGAAACGGTTCATCTGACGGAAAATTTAATTTTAACCTTTTTTGTAGAGCATTTAATTTTCTTAAAAAAATATTTCTGAGTCAATTTTGTTTAACTCAATAGTTTGGGAGTTCTGAGACAAAAACTAGCTGAGGAAAAAAAAATTAAAATTGCGATGATAGACCTCTTAATATTAATATTATGGACTCAAACTTTCACAATAATTTTTTTGTCACCCCTAACAATATTTTCAATATACTTTTCAAAAAAAAAATAGTTGATTTTTTTGACCCAGTCTAATATACACTGATATGATAAATCACTTGATATAAATAAATCAACGTTTCTGCATACAGCCCAATATGTCATTGAAACATATTATGTCTTTGTTAAGTTCAATTTTCAAGAAACCGCGAAAAAACTGTATCAAATGCAGTACCATATCATGTTGTAGGCTCATTGTTCTTTATTTGTAATTGTAATTTATCAAACAATAATTGTTTGATAAATTACATTTTAACAATTATTGTTAAAATCTCCAGCTAAAATTAACGGGAGTATTTTTTTGCCCAGTAAGTTTTTATGAGGTTGCATTTTGCAAATTATAAAATTTTTGGAAATATTAAAAATTTGGAAACTTGTCCTATAGTCGCGGCCGAATCTGCATGGGTGCACGTCATCAATGTCATCAAGTAAGATTTTTTGTTATCCTAGCCTATATAAATTTGTATGTATTTGTATTTTCAAAGAAATTTCAATATGCTACAAAAAAAATGTGATATTTATTTAATTTTGTTATGATTTTAGGAATTATATTTATTTTGTTATATTTTTATACCCAAAAAAAAACTTTATTTATGTTGGGTATTATACCTACATTTATATATTTTATAGAAGTACACCGGGAGTACCGCCATTAAACGTACACCGGGTGGAAAAAACTCCTTATTTAGCATATTTGTCAATTGTATAATATTAAATGGTCGCTCAATGGGGCGGGGTCGGTTGGGTTGGGCTGTTGAGTTTGGGTTGGTTTGGGTAATTTATACTGACATTTCATTAATTTTGTTGTTAATTGTATTTCAATCACTTAATTAAATTTTAATCAATGTTTATACAACTTGAAAGTTAGCTTAATAATTACATAATTAAAATCAAGAGTTAACCAGCTGTTTACCAACTGTTATACAACTGGGACTTAGTGTACCAATTTAATCTCAACTAATAAATCCGAAATTTTACCATCAGCTGGTATGGAAACACGCATGCGCACAAACCTGATGTACGTTTAATGCCCGTACTCCCGGTGTACTTCTAGTCACGGCGTTTATTATTTTTATGTGCAATATTGAAATAAAGTTATTATTATTATTATTATATCATCCAAACAAAATGTGAGGAAAATCTGAATAAAATGACCAATAAGTGTATTGTTTACCAAAAACTGTAACTACTATGTACCGACTATAGCATTTTTAAAATTTATACTATTGTGCGAATTTTGTTCGAACATTCTAGTACAACGCAGGCATGTGCGCGCGCCGTTTACGTTTTATATTTTGTGACGCCAAGTTTTGGTTTACCCCGTCCGCAAAGTTTATAAAATGTTTCTTACGTAAAATTAAGATCCAATGCAGAGAAAAGACTGTTGCTATCTTTGGTTTCGGCATCGACCACCAGTTGCCTGAGCGATTCGTAGATGACGGGGTCGAAGAAGGCCAGATCGTGGAACTTAATCGGCCGGCCCAGAATGGATTTTAGAACGTGTCGCGTAAGGAAAATGGGACACAGCTCGTTTTGCAACAAACACAGTCCCAACAACCTGCCCACGTTCCTGAACGCGTTCATCCGTTCGAACGAAGCTTTGCCCTGTCTCGGCGCGTAGAAGCCTCTTTTTCCCGGGCAGTAGAAGAGCGGCGCGTTGTCCTCCTCGTCTTGCGGCATCTCTTCGGCGGCGGCCGCGTTCTCGCCGGCGGCGGTCGAACGCGCGGCGCCGCTCTGCTTCCGCGACGACGGGCCTCGATCTGTCAACGAAAAAACATCTAGCTCTAAAACAAAATTGAAATTGCAACGTGAAACAACGCGGACGGCACGACATTTAGACGAGACGTGCGTACCTAAGAGCGCTTCGGACGTCAGCTCCTGCTGCGAATGAGAATGAGCCAATATCATCTCGACTGCTTCTTCCACTTTGGCGCGCAACGAGTCCTCGGACGCTAAGAGGAGGAGAAGCTGCGCTGGAGACAGCTCCAAAAGCATGCCGGTGATGCGACCCGCAAACGTAGGGTGAAGATTGTATACCTATATAAATAAAACAGTTTTTAAGATACTTTTTCTGACCATTTTGCCAAATTTCCCTGACTAACCATGTTTATTTTAAAGTTTTACAAAAAACAGGGTTGTTATGATTTAAATCACTGATTTAAGGAGGTTCGGGCATGATATTTCGATGGTTATTTGACAAAACATCGTAAACGACAATTTTGTTGAATTACTTTTTATTTTATTAAAGTGTCAGTTACGATAAGCTGCACATGTTAACATAATAGTTATCCCAATTTTGGAATCTAATATTGGCCAGTTTGAATATTTTAATTATTGTAAGCGCCTCTTCTTTTTAATTTGTTACCGATTTAGATCGTAAACGCCTATATGTTTCCGACAAATAATCGTAAGCAACTCAGAGACATGGCGTCTGCGATTTGACATTGTGTCACTTACGATAATATTTTGCTCCCGCCTTGATCTATCAAGGCGTTATTCCCGCTCTAAACAGTTTATTCGTAAGTATACTTGCATCGTGGTGATTGCTACCAAGTTTTAAAATAATCAAAAGCTTATAATTACTTTATTTCATTGCATTATTAATAGTTATCCTAATTATAATTGTTGTTACCTAGTGTGGTTCGTTAACCCATAACTGGTGAGGTCACTTTTTTGTTACATAACTGGTGAGGTGGGGTTTACCAAACCCCAAATAAAAACTCTACAGGGTGTAGCGAGCCTCGCACCATGATTTAATACGTGGTAAAGATTCTTAGAATGGGTGAGGTTTTGGAAACCCCACCTCACCAGTTACGGGTTAAAAGTGTTTTTTGTAGTAATTGTATGTTGTTTTAGCGTCAAATTACTTGACTAAAATTTATAACGGTTAGATCATGGTACCATGCATGGGTTAGATACTGATTTGTGAATAAAAATCGTTATTTTTTTCAAAGAAAGCTAATGAAGATTTTCATTTTCAAACATTGTTTGGCAAAATATCGTTGGTGATATTTCATAAATTAATTTTTTTGTAATTTTTTTTATTTAATAATAAAAGTAAAAAAAATAAATGTCGCTAACGATGTTTTGACAAAAGTAATCATCAATTTATATCCCACAAAGTAACGTAAATGTAACTATTATTGCTAAACTGTTGTAAATGTAAGAAACATTTATATGCCACCTTTCTTATTGTCATGTTATAAGATATGCGTTAATTAAATACATCCCCTATACAGCCCATGTCTTTAATTAATGCATAACTTATAACGTGACATACTATGCACAGTTTTGCAATAATAAACGATAATAATAATAATAAATAACCAAAATTATCAATCTGTCATTCTCGTCTAGAAGATCCGGCAACACTGGATTACAAGGTAGGTTTGATTTATGAGATTTTAGAGATTCTATTTGTGAAAAACTTAATTCCCTACAAAAAATGTGTACTTTTTTTTCTAAACTCAACAGTTAAAAAATCATAAAATAAGAAAAAAAACATTGTTACATCTTTAGATACAACGTGACAAAATAACTAGTTTTTTCACGATATTTAATAAAATAAAAAAAATTAAAACATGATTGTTACATCTACAACAAATATATTCTACATAAACAATAGAATACTGATTAGTGGCAAATTTATTAATATCGCTCTGTTTTAGCGACCAATTGTAGGATTTTTCTCTAAATTGGTGGATTGAAGAGCAAAATTTAACATTACTTGTATTTGTACTTGTACTTACTCTAGGATAAAGTCTATCTCCTAATTGTTGCTGATGACTTGTGAGATGTTCGTTTCTATTGGGATTTGCAATATTACTTTGGCTACTGCTGGAACTACCAGCAGGATTGTTTGCCCCTAAAAAAATGTTTAAGTATAAGAAAAATATTTATATTTATATGGTTAATTTGAGCAATAGTGTGATTTAGGGGCATTTTATGTTACATAATAAATAAAAATAAAGTAACAGCTTATGATTTATGTAATGTTGGCAAAAGTACAACAAATAAAAATTGAGCCTGCCGAAAAATGAGGATATTTTGAGAAAAATTGACTTTAGAATTTTTTTTCATTTTTTTTAAAGGATAAAACAAAAAATGGAAAAGAGTATTTTTGAAAATTTACAAATTTGACGAATAATATTCGTACACTGATATCGGTGCTGTATTAACATACTTAACTAACGTTTTATTTTACACATTGATTTATAAAAATTACAATTTTGTAATTTATCTTTATAAATCATTCATTATTTTGTAAATGCATATTTTTAATGGACTTCCTTTTGCAAATATATATATATATTTTTAATGGACTTCCTTTTGCAAAAAAAACTCAACCAACAGTATATTAAACGTTTACGTTTATTTTCTTAACTCAATTAAATTTAATTCAATGTTTAATTTTATTTGTTCTTTCTGTAATAAAGTATGTTTTTTTTTAATTTAAAATTATGTTAAGTTGTTGATTGTAACTTTCATTAAAATGTGTATACAGTTGAACTTTGATAACTTGAACCATGACTTGCCACAAAAAAACTTTGAGTAATCAAGACTTCAAATGGGGTAGTTAAATTTTTTCTGACCTATACTTTTTATGGTTTTATTCAAGGCGTTTTGTAATTTTAAACATTTCTGTGAAATCGGAATTTCAATTGAGTTTACCGTTTTCGAGATATTTACAAAACAAAATCTCCTAATTACGTCACTAGGCTATTGACAACGTTGCAAGCTTTTTCTATGCTTGCCAGTGTGTTTAGTTTAAGATTCTTACGATAGATGGCGCCACGTTATAATATTTTAGTTGAGAAGAAGAATTGATTTTTTGACGTTTCTTTTTTTCGGGTTGTTTTTTTTAAATTTAGATTATTGAAAATCAATGTTATTGTTATGTTATTTGTAATTGATATTAGATAAGTGATTTATTAATAACGGACTCCAAAGCAGAGGAATCTTGTGGAATAGTTGGTTACATTGAACATTGGAGCTTTTAAACAAATAAAGTAAGTACCTATAATTATAATCATATTTTGTCGTAAATGCATTTCATTAGTATAATGCCTAGTTCTTTATATTCTTTTAGATATATTATTATTTTTTGTAAATTTATTTCATTCATTTTCAGCTTTATTTTGCCTCTTTTTTCTATGAAATATATTAAACTCTGCTTTAGACAGTTATTAGGTACCTATTTATTACATAACCTCTTCGGGTATTTTCTGACATAACCAAATGAAATCATTAACAAGACAACTTGACAACAGGGTAATTTTCAACCAATAGAAATCTTAGAATGTTGGTCACATGGCGGGGTTTGTGACGTCATAAAAATTTATATTTTTTGTAAATATCTCGAATACGGTAAACTCAATTGAAATTCTGATTTCACAGAAATGTTTAATATTACAAAACGCCTTGAATAAAACCATAAAAAGTATAGGTCAGAAAAAATTTAACTACCCCATTATTAATTACACATAATTTTCACTCTTATGAAGACTTCAAGTTATCAAAGTTCGACTGTATTTTACAAAAAAATCAGTTTTTCACAAAAAAGACAATATTATCAAGGCCAGGGTAAAATAATGAAAAAAACAGGATTTCCCCAATTTTTCCAGTTTTTTTTCCACACTGTAAGTTTAACTTCAAAAATATGCATTTTTAAATAATATAGGTCCTTTTTATATGTTTTATGGGCCTTTATATTGCTTTTCTTAATAAAATATAACATTGGGAACATAAAAATGTGTCAAGGTTTTTAGATGATTTATTTTACATCTGTAGCAAAATCAGATGATCAGATCTTTTTTACCTCGTAAAAATATTTACCTGTGGATATATCTGGCATGGACGGTGCATCGGAGTGCATGCTGTCGTTGGGCACAAATGGCCTGGCGTCAACAATCATGGTGCGCCTATGATGGTCTCTGGACGACCTGTTCGAGCCCCTAAGCGGCACAGATCTGCGCAGCACGTCGCTACGATCTCTGCGCAGCCGTTGCAGAACGCTGTACTGCGACGAGTACTTGTTGTCCACTTGCGCCGACTCCAGACTGGGCAGCTTTTCGTTCGAAAGGATCGCCTCGGCTATGGCCGTGTAGAAGCTGCGGGCCACGCCGGAGCCTTCGCCGGGCTCGTCCTTGAATGTCACCTTTACGCGACTGACGGCCAACGGGGGAGAAGATGAAGTACGTCGGTTGTAACTGTTATACTGAGTGTTTAGTTCTTTAAAAGTCTGCAATAGCAACTGGGTTCTGTCGCGTTCGATTTTGAGCAACGTTAAATCTCTGGGCTGATTATTGCGCAGTTTTTCCATGTCGCGTCTAAATTTCGCTTCTTTCACAGGAAAACCGCCCAATTCCGAAACTATGGAACCCGGTTCCAAACCGACGTCTTCCATGAAAACCCTACCGAACAAGTCAAGAGATAAACGCCATCTGCCAAGCAGCAAATCGTGAGATACGGATTGCCCTAACGATGGTTTAGCAACGTCATTATTTACCGCGGTTGTCACAACTGTCACGTTTGCGGAAATTTCTTGGTTTTCCAAGGTTTCTGGTTGTTGGTTGTCTAAAGACATCATAACTTCAGAATCGCCCAGCTTCTGGGACAAACTACCACCCTAAAATAAATTTATAATTTTATAAATTGCATGAAGCACAAAGTAAACGTAATACTGAGCAATTCCATAATTACGGATGTGACAATTCGTAGGATATAGTCCGCTTTTGTTTCAAAAGCAAAGATATTGTTACAAATTAAACTGAGGCAGTTTAGGCCTATACCCAGAGAGCCATATCAGGTTAAAACATGGCCAAGAATTGCCCATTACCTTTGGAAAAGTTTTGCCAATAAATGTACTATGTAGGACTGTATATTCCTATGGTATTTGTGCAATCGCGATGGCCAACAATAAATGACCAAATTGTGCCCAATAATATGCCAAAGCAGTTTGGATAAATTAGGTAGGTTACCGTTGGTTTAATTTTGGGAATGTTTGGGCATGGAAAAACGATGACAAATTTTTGATGTTTATTTGGGCAATTAGGCTTTTAAAAAATTGACCAAATATTGGTAAATATTTGGACAAATCCAAAGTATTAACAAATATTATTATTATATTTGAAAATTGGGTAAATAAAAAATTTTGTATTTATATTTTTTAATCATAAAAAAATAAAACAGTATGTTTCAATACTGGAACAGAGGTCAAAAATAAAATTAAAAAAAAAACCAAATGTATAAATAAAAAATATTTAAAATAATCAAAATTGGAAAAAAATATTGTTTTTTTATGTTGAATCCCAAGCAGTGATTTAATTGTTTTTTTGCAATAAGGCTTTTTTTTATTTCGGACCCGTTGCTTCGCGTTGTTTAAGGCCACGTCAAAGGACCTCTGGAATTCTAAAGCCCCTGGAGGAGGAAATTTATCATGTTCATGTAAACTCTCTAAAAAATACTTTAAGTAACAAAATTGTCTAGGAAATAATATTAAAATATAAAACATACGGTGAATGGCTTGTACGATTTTTGTTTTGGACACTCCAACACCAGCACGTCCAGTGCGCGTTATTTTGGAAGAAACTTCATCTGAGAAGGCTTCTTTGACAATTAAATTCACGCTTCCTACGACGTCATCGTCAGCGACAAATTTAAAGTAGCTAACCTATAACATAACAATATAAAAACACAAGTCTTAAAACGTATTTTGGAAGTGAAAACCATTTTTTGATACATGTTTACAAAAAAGTGTTATTTTTCTATGAAGAATGCACTGTTTAAGTTTGGCCCCCTAATTTCAGGACACCCTGTATACCTATCTATAGATTTGTAGATGTATATACAAGAATATTCTTGGTTGAGTTTTTCTTGTTTGACGGGTCAACACAAATTGTGTTACACAATTTTTTAAATTAAATTACCTATGTTACGTTTCATTACATTACTTTAAATGCTGGCTAAATCCACCTTTATACTTGTTATAATATTATGATACAAATAGAATTACGATCAGGCTATCAAGAATTATGCTTTATTAAACATTAAGAACTTATTGTAAAATAGTTTGTGATTGGTAACTTTATGTTATGAAGAACTTTAAAAATAAAAAAGAAATAAATTTTTAAATTCAATAAAAAAATTGCAATTACCTTGCTCACTTCTAGCACGATAGATCTTAAAACCCAATAAATCCTCTTTTTTCTTCGTGACATATAGGTAGAAAATTTATTTTTAAATTGTCCTGCTTGTAGTAAAAGCCTAGTACCCATAAACACTATTTACCTAGAAAAAGGCAGTTATTTTTCTTCACTGCAACTTCAAGATGAAAATCTGTAACAATTAACAAAAAATAAGTACATAATATAGAACTAGCAATGTAAATTTATATTACCTACTTCAAAATTAATAAGGGAATAAAATCTTCGAGAAGTAAGAAATTGTATAATAATTGAATGTTTTATTAAAAACTTTTAAAACAAACCTAACCTTAATTAGGTACTTACTCAAAATTTAAAGCCGTTTAAAACTTTACACGTTTAGTTAGTGCACAGATGATTATATTTTTTTGTAATAACTATCACACAAGCACTTTTTGACGCCTTTTTGTAGAGAAGGTCTTGAAATATTAACGCCATTGCGATTCTTTTTCCATGCTGATCAATTATTTGCCAAGTTTCGATCAATCTGAATTACAAACGCTTTGCCAATTTTCTACCAAACTTCATTACAAACGACGTTGGCCAATAATAACTCTATCTAGGACTGTATATTTGTGTAGTTGTTGTGCTATCGCATTGGAAAATAATTTGGCATAAAACATGTCAATTTTTGGTCAAACTTTATGAAAATACAATTAATATGTCCAAATAAACCCCAATAAATGTAAAATATCGTAGTCCAAACTTAGTTGGGAAAAAGTTGACTAATTTCTTTCCCAAAGCATGGCTCTCTGGGTAGCCCCTAAAAGTCCAATATTCTCTTCTTTGACAAAAAAAATGTTAAGAAAAATCAGCGAATTTTTAAAGTAGATTTGTAAAACAGCAATGTTGACTTATACAGCTTTTGTTTGTATGCTGAAATATACTAAAAATACTTGTTAGAAAAAAAATTTTAATACCAGTGTCATAAAGTCGGATTTTTTGTTAAAATTTAAGTGTCAAATGTATATATCATTGTTTTAAGCAATTAATTTAACAATTTCTTAAGATTTTGTCACATCAATTTTTAGGTTAAGATCAACTGACATGTTGACATTTTAGCTTTATTTTTGAACGGAGTTTAATAATAATTTGACTTTTGAACTAGTCTTTCTATATCTGTACCTCAGAGCCATCAGGAGTTAATTCCAAAAAGTTAATTATGCGTAGCGGCCATTTAAAGATGAGCCGGTGTTTTATTTTACTATATAACTTACAATTTTCCAATAAATGTACATTTATTGGAAAATTGTAATGTACATTTATTGGAAAATTGTAAGTTATATAGTAAAATAAAACACCGGCTAATCTTTAAATGGCCGCCACGCATAATTAACTTTTTGGACTTAACTCCTGATGGCTCTGAGGTACAGATATAGACTTATGAGTTTTATAATATGAAAACTATTAAAAGCTTGAAAAAAAGTATAATTTTTGAACCCCTATTTTTGCACTGCAATTAAATCAGCACATAATAGGTACTACCAAAACTAAATAATATGTATTCCTTGAGGGCGTAAATAAATTTTAAAAACATGTCAAAATAAAATAATTGTAAATGTCAACATTTTTTCTTCACAGTTTTAGTAATTATTTATAAAATTATTATGGTATAAGAAAAAATAATGTATGCAACTCAAATATAAAACCACTTTTTTGCACTATGAGGTTTTATATTTTGCCCGTCCGTCTCGTTATAAAAGTCGCTTTATTTATTTTTGCATAAACTACTATTTTCATTTACAATTGTAAACTTAAGTTTAAACAATTAAAAAAGTTAGAATCCTTGTTTGATTACAGACATCACAAAAAATACTTATAACAACCAAGTAGTAATTGCTAATACATTACAAAATTTACTCTAAATATTATAGAAACAAAAACAAAATGGATAATTAAAGAAATAATTAAATAACTGGGTAATTAAACAGAAAAAAAGTAATTTATGTGATATTCTCGTCACTTATGCTAAAAAAATTTGAGCTCTTAATATTAATTTTAAAAGGTCCATCACCGAATTTAAAGTTTTTCCATTGATTTAACATGGAAAAATAGTTTTTTAAGATTTATTTCGCCTGCATGCCCTGTAAAAACACAATGTCGGCTTCGTATCTGTCCGCAACCTAAATCTCAAAGGAATTACGGTCATCAGAAAGCACCTGATCTAGGAGATTATAGTGACGAGTATTAGATGAATAAAACTTGTACCCATGTATCGAAATCTCCATATTTTAATAAATTATATTGACTTACCGCTGAGGATCCAGCTCTGACAATGACACTCTTGCTAGGGATTCTGGATGGTGTGGTGGACCCTCCGGATAGAGCACCAGAGGTTCCTTGATTGTATAAGTCTGTATTGCTTTCTGAATTTTGCAGACCAGAGCTTGAAGATCCAGAAGAGAACATTTCCTGGCTAGATGTCTCTGCAACTTTTCTGGGAGACACTATAATCTGTGGTCTTGCTGTGGGTTCACCCGCATAATTTTCATTGGATTTCTCAACACTCCTTGATAAATCTTGAGGCCTCTCATCAATGTCTCCAGTTTCGTTTTTGACCGCGTATAAAAGTGTCTCAAACGGTTGCATTTCCGTCAAACTATTATAGCTAAATAATAAAAAACACTAATTATACAAAAATATATGGGGCAGTCCACGCCAAATCGGCCAAGAGTAAGACTTCATGTTTCCGATTTGCTTCAAATTTTCAGGGTCGATAGACGAACTAAAGTAATGGAGAAATCTAAAATTTCAACCTCTTTTATGCATTTTTGTAGGTTTTACAAAATAAACAAAAAAAGGCACTTCTCTTATTTTTCGATTAGGTATATAAAAACCCGAAAGGCAAAAAATTTCGAAAAAAATCATATAAACCTATTTTTTGACGCTCTTTAAGATAAAATAAAAATATTTTGTTGTAAAATTCTAAAAAGCAAATCGGAAACATGAAGTCTTACTCTTGGCCGATTTGGCGTGGACTGCCCCATATGTTAATTGACAATACTACCTTGAAACGACTGAAGTCTCAGTTTTAGAGCTGGATGAGCTTGCACTTGCGGACGATTGTCCCGTGCCAGTTTCAGTTTGCACTTCTTTAGACAGGCGTTTTTCTTCAGGATCCGCCTCTGGGTCGTAACTTTGCGGATACACCAGAGGATTGGGACCCATCACGTTTAGAGAACTCGATATCGGGTGATTAGCTTTGGCGGGCTGACTCATCGCGTAGTGGGTCGTACGAGTCGACAAACTAAGTTTAGTCGGCAGTTGTTCTAGGGGGTTATCGGAGTTTGTACCTGACGAGTTAAGAGTAACGGGTTGTTTAGGAATACCGAACAATTCTTCTCTTCTCGCATTAGGTTGCAACAAATGCGGTTGGTCCGCCAGTGGCAGAGCCTCCGACATGGGCGTCTCGAACGGATCGGGCGGAGGACAACCCAAACACAACGTGGATTCAGAGCGTTGGAAAAACGAATGTTTTCTACCTTTACCGCTTCCAGCGTTGGAAGCGTTCAAATTGGAGACTTCCTGATCGTCCAGAGAGTCTGTTTCCATTGCAACTGCGATATCTTCGTCGGCCTCTTCGTTTTCGTTCTCGTCCTGGTCGTGCCAGGGCGGCAGCGGAATGCCGTCCCTGGTGCCGGCGCCGCGAGGTTCGTTATCTACGCTGCCCTCCGAAGTGCCGGAACGCATGAAGTAAATCAGAGCGTCAAACACGTACGCTACATGTTTTAAAGCCGAAACATCGAGAATCGGTAGAGAATCCAAGTGTTCGTTGTTGTGTGCTCTCATCAGTGAAAGACAATAAGAAAGGAATTCCCTTCTGGCCGCGTGCGCGTCACCGCCTGAGTAAAAACAATGTTAAAACCAGTACGAGTAAAAATTACGTATATGGCACGCCGTTTTACTGTTTAATGACATCAAAAAATTAACTCAAAACAAAAATTATCAAAATTAAAAATTGCCTAGAAAATATAAACTTTCATAAAAATTACTAAATTAAGTTTAATTATAAATTAAAATCTACTAATTTATTTTTTGGTTTATTGGATAAATATATAAATATATTTACATCATTCTGGTGTGATCTATATTTTTAAGCCTCAGTTTTTGTTGTATGTATATTTTTTTTCTATTTAAAAAAGGTGCTTATATGTAAATAATAATATTTCACTGGGCAGGAAGACGAAAGTCGTTAGCCTTTTGGATTTCCAATAAAGTTTATTATTATTATTATTATTATTATTAATATTTCATTTATTAATTTAAAATTAAGTTAAAGAAGAATATTTATTTTGGAATAAAAATTAGACACGATTTAAATCTGTAAGCGCAAGGCGAATTTTCTCGATGAAAAGTTCGATGAATTAAAATGTTGTTTAACACTCGTAAACAGAATTTTAATTTGGCGCTAGTGCATAGTGCGGTTGTGTTACATACTACTGCCTCCAAGCGAAACCACATAACGTCGAAGTACAAAAGCTCGAAAATAAATTAGGCAACAGTGCAGTCCAAAATTTTCAGTGCTATCAATAATGTATATCGACATTCTTATGATTATTAAATTATGTAAGGGGTGCATTTCAACAAAACTGCCCTGCTGGCTAACCTCACTTTATACGAAATAATTTAGATATGGATTTCAGACTCTCAATTTAATTGTGGTTCATTATTTGGTTAGTTGTCTATGCAATAGGATTTCTCGCAGAAGAAGATATTTATATAATTACCAGAATTGTCCTACTCGTTACTTGTCCGAGCCGACTACCTGTTCAGTATAAATAATCCACAAACTTAATGAATGTAATTAATGGTGGATTGAAAATATTGTATTGATTTTTATCTTTTAGTCAATAAAAACCAATATTTTAGTAAAACAGATTTTCTTTATTTTTATATCAAAAAATTAATTAATAAATTAGATAAGAAATTAAGGAAAGCAAAACAGGTAATTAAATAAAATGGCAGCACTCAATTTGAATGCACCGTTGCTCATGTATTTACCTTCGACGTTAAGTGACTTCGCTTGGTGGCAGTAGTACGTAACACAACCGTGTTTACGAGTGATAACCAACATTTTAATTCATCGAATTTTTCAGTCGGAAAATTCGAGGTACATAATATTTATTCCAAAAAATAAAAGTAAGGAATAATTATTCTGTCACATACAAGTAGCATTGAATTTATTATCTAAAAAAATAATCTGATTAAAAGAAATATGGCAGAAACGTGCTTAAATGAAAATTCGTATTGCTAGATTTAAATAACATAATAATAAATAACAACTAAACTACAACTTTATTCCCGAACAAAAATTGTTTCAAAGTGTTTTAAACAGGGACCCGGACCGAAACCGAAAAAAACCGAAAACCGGAACGGAACCGGTTTTTTTTCCGAACCGAAACCCGAACCGGAACCGTTTTCGCTTTTGATAAAATCTGTTGGACCGGAACCGAAACCTTTATTTGCTTTCATTCTAATAACATTATATAACATATTAGGTTATAGATTAAAATTACGTAAAACAAATAACCTCACTGGAACCGCTTAAAACCGAAAAGAACCGAACCGTTATAACTCCACGAAACCGAAACCGGAACCATTAAAACGAAAATAGGGTGAACCAAAACCGTACCGGAACCGATATTTCATTTCGGTCCGGGTCCCTGGTTTTAAACAACAAAATAATTCGTATTAAAAGTAAATATTAAAATTTTTAAAAATAATAATAAAAATAAAATTGTGTTCAATTCTTATTAGTCAAATAAAATTTTAAGTAATATTAAAAACATTTCAATATTAAAACAAATATTTCGTGCAAAAAATTTGTGTGTCGAATAAGAAACTTTATCACTTTAATTTCTAAAAGGTAAATTGATTTTTATGTCGACGAGTAATAATAGAAATTAATTGCGACATAATGATAATTTCAGTATTAGGTACTTTTTCTTAAATAAATATCGCGCACCTTGAATTAACTGGCTAAGAAATTCGATGAATTAAAATTTTGGTTTACATAATTTCAATTTGACTGCGTGTTTCTCAAGTAGCGCCTTATTAAAATTATCTCAATCCAAATTATAATTCATCGAATTTTTTAGTCAGAAAATACGCCATTCAGTTCCAGAATTAAAATTACTTTAATTCTTATTCTGTGCTTAAAATTGTGTACTTAATATACCAAGCCATCATACAAATTTTACTTTAAAATGTTCAGTAGGGTGATTCAAAAAAAGCCTTTTTTTAAAAATGAACCCGCACTGGCCTAAATTATAAAGATTACATTAAAACTAAAAGATTAATACCAAAAAATCCAAATTCGATGAATATTTAGAGGTCGCTCAAATCGATTTTCGTATTTTTGCACATTCGAGCCGCGAAATTATTACTGCGCAAAATAGTAAATAACTCCGTTAGTTTTTATTCGATATTATTAAAAATTTAAGGGTTACCTAGTTTTTTAATACTCTTTGAGACAGTGTATTGAACTTTACAGAAAAAAATTTTTTTTTCATGAAAAAAAATAATTTGTTAATAAAAACGTATCATCTTATAAAATAAGCAACAATTGGAATCGCACTATAATGGTACCGTAAAAAAACTAAGAAAATAACACTTAAATTATTTAGCATACATAAAACCTGCCGAAAGAAATATTTTATTTGATTTATATAAAACATAACCTAATAATAATTAAGTTATTCAAATTTTTTCCATTTTCATACGATTTTATAAATAATTTATATCCGTTTTATTAATTATGACGTATTTTTATAATATTTCTTTATTTTTGATACCATATTTAATTAATTACACTAAGTAGTTATTAATTTATGTCCTTTTTATAATTAAAATAAAAAAATCCACTGTTCTACATCGTTTTCTTTGCAATGATTGTTTCTAATGTTAATTTTTTCAACCATTTTTTCTTTTGTTTCAGTAGGTACTCTTTTATCAAAAATGCCAAACAAATTAGCTCTTCTATTTGCAAATCTATATTTTTGTAAACATGAAGTTCATGAAGTGTTTTCAAATAATTTTTGGGAGCGCAAGTTGCGTTTGGAGCTTGGAACCAGGCAAATATCTAAACGAAATATAAAAATACAAATTCTATGCAATGACTTATTTTCATTGTTAGTGAGTTTAAATTGATCCCGAAATAAGAAAATCTTTAGAGAGTATATAGCTTTGTTCATCCATCGGGCATGCTATCTATCTCCACCAAGGTATAAGATGTTTTTCTTTAATTTCTCAACAAATTAGTTTTGGTACTTAGACCCTTTTGAATTAAGTAAATAATATATATATATACACTACTCAAAAAAGTCTAGGGATATTATGATTAAGTGAAATTAAAAACTTCTTTATTAATTTTTTTATTTTATTTTGTAATTGTTTTCAATTAAAAAGTCCTAACAATATAAAATAAATCAAAATTTAGGTGGTAACAATTTTTATTCTTCGCAAATAAAAATTACAAACTTGATTAATAAAATTTATTATAAATGAATTAACAAAATCAATACGAAAAAAATAAAAGCTTGTGTTCTTAGTACCGAGTGTGACCTCCTCTACTGTTTGCAACTGCTCTACATCTACGAGGCATACTTAGGATTAAATTATCTAGCTCATTTTGAGGTAATCTGGTCCATACGTCTTGAAGGCAATTAAAGAGCTGCTCTTGGTTCTCAAAGTAATCATTAACCCTTAGAACGCCTCTCTGTAGCATATCCCAGACATGCTCAATCGGGTTAAGGTCTGGCGACTGAGCAGGCCACGGTAAAACAGGGATTTGGTTAGTTCGAAGGAAATTTCTAACAACGTTTGCGGTATGTGGGCGTGCATTATCATGCATTAAACAAAATTCGGGCTCTGCATTTTGTGCGAATGGAATAACGACAGGACGGAGTATCAAATCCATATATGCGACTGAATTTAATGTTCCTTCTAATCGAACGAGATCTGTTCTTCCGCCTAATGTTATTCCGCCCCAAACCATAATTGTTCCACCTTGAAATGTATGAACCTCTTGAACATTACGAAGACGGTTTTCGGCTCCTGGTTGTCTCCAGACTCGTATTCTTCTTGAATCCGGGTAAATTCCAAATCTAGACTCATCTGTAAATAAGATATGACTCCACTGTTCATCTGTCCATGCAAGATGTTCTCTAGCCCAGATATCCCGTGCTCTGCGATTGCCCCTGGTTAGTGGTGGAACTCTCAAAGGTCGTCTACTCCAAAGATTAATCTCATGTAGGCGATTTCTTATGGTTTGACCGGAAATGGTTAGATTGTGGGTCTGCTGTAAATTTCGTACCAGTTGTGTAGCGGTCAAATTTGAGTTTCTTCTTGCTTGTAGTTGTACAAACCGGTCTTGCGCTGGGGTAGTTATTCTTCCACGGCCTGGGTGTCTTTCACTTACACTCCCTGTCTCACAATATCTACTCCAAAGGCGACTAACAACACTTTGAGAGGTGCCTATAGTATCTGCTACTAGCACTTGGTTTTGGCCGGCTTCGAGCATTCCAACAGCGCGTAACCGCTGTTCTTCGGTCAAATGAACTCTTTGCATAGTGAATATACCAAGCACACTTTAAATACTGTCTTTAAAATGAAAAACGTAAAATTATTTCCTTATGCAAAAAGTAGTGTTTTGCAAAACATCGACATGTTTTTTGTTTGGTTAATAAAAAAAATTATTAATGTTGTAAAAGTACACAGTAACAAACAATGAATTTATAATTTAATAAAATGTATTTATACTGTGCGTCTTTTTTTAACTTATATATAATTATTTAGAATATCCCTAGACTCTTTTGAGTAGTGTATATTTATATTTATATAATTTATCAACTACCTGCTAGTAGGTCCTACTATCAAAATTTAAGAATATTAATTATTGTGGTATGTCAATTTAGCAACATCTAGACAGAATCAAATAATTTTGGTATCAAAATTTGAGAATTGCTGTATGTCAATAATTTTAATAAAATTTAAATTTCTGCTTAAGCCATATCAATGCAGTGAATAATTTTGTAGTTAACGTTATTTTATTTTAGTTGTAAAAAGGACCTAATTTAATAACTACCTAGTTTAATTAATTAAATATGGTATCAAAAATAAAGAAATAATATAAAAATACGTCATAATTAATAAAACGGATATAAATTATTTATAAAATCGGTTAAAAATGTGAAAAATCTAAATTACTTAATTATTTTTAGGTTATATATTATATAAATCAAATAAAATATTTCTTTCGGCAGGTTTTCTGTATACTAAATAATTTAAGTGTTATTTTCTTAGTTTTTTTACGGTACCATCATAGTGCGATTCCAATTGTTGCTTATTTTATAAGATGATACGTTTTTATTAACAAATTATTTTTTTTCATGAAAAAAAAATTTTTTTCTGTAAAGTTCAATACACTGTCTCAGAGGGTATTAAAAAAGTAGGTAACCCTTAAATTTTTAATAATATCGATTAAAAACTAACGGAGTTATTTACTATTTTGTGCAGTAATAATTTCGCGGCTCGAATGTGCAAAAATACGAAAATTGATTTGAGCGACCTCTAAATATTCATCGAATTTGGATTTTTTGGTATCAATATTTTAGTTTTAATGTAATCTTTATAATTTAGGCCAGTGCGGGTTCATTTTTAAAAAAAGGCTTTTTTTGAATCACCCTAATGTTCAGTCAATTTTTAAAAACGCAACTTGAATTAATATTTAGCTTTAATAAACATGACATTAAAAAGTAAAACGGCGTGCCATATTACGTATCACTTACTTTCTCTTTCAGGTCTGGACCGTCCACCTTCAGAATTTGTGGAAAAACCTACGATTCTACCAGTAGTACCGCCGGCAGTGCCTGTAACAGCGTGCGTTCTGTGACTTCTTGCGTTACTTGTCGATCCAGAACCAACTAAAAGATAGACAGTGTTAGTGACAGGCGATAGTGAGCGCGGCTTAAAATTAACACAAAGCAAACATTAAGCAAGTGCAAAAAATGAAACTTATTTATTTTGAGTGAAGATAAGTGTAATTTATTCGTAATGATTTGATGAACGAATTTAAAAGCAAAACTACAGTATGTCCAAAATAAATGATTTTTGTAGACACAATGTGGTTGTTGAAAGCATGCATAAAAAGAGGTAAAATAAAGGCGAGGCCAAGACACCTAGTGAAGCCAATGTAGCTGCAGGCACAGTGCGTTGCCCACCTCCAGCGTTTAAACCAGCGTTTAGTGGATGACCAGGACTTGTAAGATCCAAAGAATTTGTTAAAGACGCACCAAACTTCAATTGCGCCTCGGTCGCGTCCATTACGGTCAACAACCAATCCCAGGTGGGTTTTAAACGAAACTCCAAATAAATCTAAGAGAACAATGAAGGTATATTATTTTATTTCTTTTATGTATTAATGTTTACCTGTACATTAAGAATGTCGTCTTGTGTACCCTCCACGTGTGCAGAAGGTGGCAAAAGCTGATTTACGTCCGAAATAGTTGTCAGCAAATCAGCGATTTGTCTCACAACGATACCTAGAGAAAATCAGATTAGTTCTTGAAATATTGCAATGTGGTTTCTAAAAATAATTTTTTTGGCCAAAATTATTTTTTTAATTCTATAAACACACTTTAATGTGGATGTATTAAAAATAAATACTCCAGAGCTCAACATTCTTCATTTTAATTTTTATTTGCGCGGACCTTTAACCAAACAAAATTTGTAGTTTAGGTGGTGCCCTAACTGTGTTATCTTTCTTAAGGTATGTACTTTCAATTGATACACTGCGCGTCAAAATTAACGCATAATAAGTAAAAGGGTTTTTAGAGAAAATATTTTTAAAGCCCTTTTAGGTATTTAATATTAAAAAAAAGCTCGAAAAAAAACTTTTATAGGAATTTTTTTTTAGTAAATAAAAAATATGCTGTTAAAGACCGTATTTTTGTTAGTATACCCTGAAAATTTTGTACACATCAAACGAACAGTAGTCGGTAAAAATGACCCCTTTTTGATTATTTTGCTGAAAAGTGGTCATTTTTACCAAATTTGAAGCGCTGTATCTTCGTTACTGTTCGTTTGATTTGTACAAAATTTTCAGGGTATACTAACAAAAATACGGTCTTTAACAGCATATTTTTTATTTACTTAAAAAAAATTCCCTATAAAAGTTTTTTTTTCAAGCGCTTTTTTAAATATTAAATGAAAGGGCTTTAAGTATATTTTTCGAAAAACCCTTGAAAACGTAAACTGAGATATAAGTTAAAGTATTTTTATCCAAAATTGGTAAGATTGGTAAAGCCGTTTTAGAGTTAGAATTTTTTGATGGGCAGTGTATAAAGAAAAAATAGTATTTTAAGCCCATTTAAAAAAGGAGTTTTTGTTTTAAAAAATTAAAATTTTAAGATTTAGATGGACTAAAAATAGCGGTGTTTTTTATTTATTAATTTGCCCAAAAAAATTACAGGCTTTAAAATAATTACAACTGGAAAAAATTTTTTTTTTCGTGATTGGATTCCATCATCATCTGAGATTACTACCTATTGCAACTTTCTTGCTAATACTTTATACTCTTCGAACAACATTTTTCTTTTAGCTATGCATTGTTTAAAGAATGAAAAATAACTTAACAAACTTCGTGCGTAATTTTCGGGACACCCTATATAAAATGATTATAAACGTTAAGAAAAATTCAAATAAACCTATCTAACTATAAAATAGCATACAAATAACAATGTTCAACACCAAAAATCAAACCGCACCGGACTATTTTTTTCTGAAAATATACCTATCCAATAGCAAAACCCTCGCTGGGTTTGTAAAAGTTAGCTCGATTTTTTTTTATGGTTATTTGTATTTTCTAGCTTCTTATTTGCTTTGTATTTTCTAGCTTCATATACCCCAATTTAGACTTGGATTTAGACGCATATATTCGATTTATATCAAGATTTTTTTTAGAAATGTAGTTACTGAACAAATATTGGATATGTATATTTTAAGAAAAAAATGGTCCGGTGCGGTTTGATTTCGATGACCCGAAAATTGTCGCACAGTGTAATCCATCCATAGATATTATGCTAGTCTGTCCTACTTTGTTCCTGTTTCACTCCTAAACTGCTGAACCGATTTTGATGAAATTTGGAATGGAGATAGATATATATCCAGTTAGCAAAATATATGTTGTTTTTAGATATTTTTTTAAATTCTGGTCCAAGTTGTGTAGCTGCCACTGCTGGGCTAGAAAGAATTTTTTCCACATTCGGTTTTGTATATTCAAATTGGTCAATGAAATGGCTGAAAAATTATGTTTTGATATTTTAATCAAAATTGCTCTAAAGTTTTTTGTTTGATCTGCAGACTAGGCACATTTTTTGTGAATAGATATTTTTTCTTTGATTTGATAAAATATTAAATTAGCAAATTTGGAATTTGCAACATTACAACCTTTTTATTAATCCACGCGCAAAGTTCAGTAACGATTTCGACCATTTAGAGAAATTTCCACTCTTAATAAATTACAGATTAATTTAATTCATTCAAAAAAGTTGCATCCTAAAATTGCTACATTCTCACTTACCAAAGGCTCTAGCCAAACAGCTGGCAGTGGTCGACATGGTGATGGGTTCGGAGCTGGCAGTTACGGTTGCGCTGCCTGTGGCCGGCCTCCTCAGTGAGCTCGGGTCAATAAAGACCAAGTTTGAACCGTTGGCGAGACGAACTCCTGTCGATCTGCTGGCTTCGCGCGATCTGATCGCCCACTGCATGTTCTGCGGCGCCAAGTTGCCGCGTTGACCATGACCCGCCGCATTGCTGTAACGGCTTCTTTCATAGACACAATAATCAAAATGTATGAGAACACAAACAAAACACTAAAATACTTGCGATTAAAAGTAATAAATAAACAAAAGTAACTCGAGAAAAAAAGATAACTAATGTTTAGTGTTACGGTTACACTAGCTCTACTGGGGTCAAAAATAAGGGAAACAGAAAAATGCTAAATATAATTTCTTTAGAGTTTCGGTAAAGATTTAGAAAACTTTTACAGTTAAGAATTAATAAAAATTTACCTTCTTCTTTCTAATTGCTCGTCATTTAAAGTATAGTCCTCGGTATCTTGTTCATCAGATTCACCCGCTTCGCTTTCTTCCTCCTCCTGCTGGCTAGAATCGCCGCTCTCGTCTTCGGGGAATAGCAGCATACCTCCTGATAAGTTATATAGAAATGCAAGCATTCTAAAGCAGTCACATGCGTATAAACAGTACCGGCTTTAACGAAGATGACGCCAAATCGTAGATAATAAAGTATACAGTACTTCTTTATTTAACCCTTAATCAACAATTTTTGTTTTACCTTACCTTTGTTTAGTCCATTTGAAACGTGTTTTCGTTGTGTTGTTATTATATTACACCGTATTTTTTCGCAAAAACTAAACAGTGCTGAGTGCATCTGAACACATTAAAAGGGGGATATTTTGTTGCAGCTTCAAGCATCATATGCTGATGCTTTACTTCGTAATAATTTATTCATGTCTGATATTCTATATAAAAGGTTTAATAAATTGTTGCATTTTGGGATGTAAATGTCACAAAAGTAACGTATTCACATTTAACAGTAAATTATTAATTTAGGTTATGTATTAATTTACTGCCAGTCCTGTCAGTACTGAATAGAATAGAAAAGTATGAAATACGACATATTCCGTAAAAAATCCTGTGTTAAATTCGAGCGCAAGATGACATTGCCGCTCTCGCGAGAAAGCTGCGCAAATAGCTATTGTGTGATAATACTGTCGCTCGCGGCAATGTCACTTTGCGATCTAAATACACACAGGATTTTTTCTTCAACCGGTGTTTTTTATAAAAATGTTTAGTAATAATTAATAATTATTCGTTATTATGGTTTCCATGGTAAATAAGCGAGCATGTCGGTTACTTTGTCGCTCGGCGAGCGACAAAGTTAAGAAACGAAAAAGTGCAACTTTGGAAGCGCAAATTTGTACTTTTCGCTTGCTTGTAGAAAAATAGCTATTTCCATATTTTCCTTGCTGCTTTGTTGCCAGATGTTGAATGTAAAATTATCTTACCAAAATTATCGTTTGTGAACGTATATTATCGTATAGTATGGAAAACGGGTTAATGAAATATGAAACTTGAGGTATATATGCAGTTATATCTTTTTAGAGAAAAAGAGTATAAAATAAAACAAATTATATCATCTTTACCTAAGAAAGCAAAAAATACTTTTAATAAAGCTCTGTACTACTTTATATTAAAACCTTCAATTGGTCTATAATTTAAATGTTATTGTTGTCAACACTCAATACTAAAGTGATTGATTATGGCCCAGTCACTTAAAAATGACTTATACCAGTCTGGTTAGGTTATTTATAGCCTGAGCTGTAAAAAATCATTATTTTCTACTTTGGCCTGATAAAAAAAATCGACTTTTGTCAGATCTATCTAACATCACTTTCTACTTTTAATAATTGTACGTTTTATGTATAATATAATGCGTTCCAATTTCACTGTTGCGTCAGTACTGAATAAATTATAAAGCAGTCCTTTTCCGCTACTGACAGTTCTGGCAGTAAATAAGGTGTAAAATCATTATTTGTTTTGCATTTAACTAAAAGGTGTTTTGTTATAAAAACATTTCTCCTGAAATCAAATCAAAAATGCAAATAAAATAAAATAATTTTTAGTTTGATTTCAAGAACATTGTTTCATATTTAAACGTTTTTATATGTAAACAGTTTTTAATTGTTATAACATAACAATAGTTTGAGCTTGGTTTACTCGAATTGTGGATTTTTACCTGCACTATATCAAGACTACTGTATTGCAAATAGGGTTGGGAAAATTTCACTTTTTGCTTGTACTTGAAATTTCACTTGAAATTTTCATGACAATTATGAAATTTATTAAAATTTCCTAAATTTCTAAAATTTCATGAAATTTATTGCAACTTTCTATAAATTTCAATCACTTTAAGTGTAATATATTAATATTGAAATAAGCCCACTCGGGGACCATGGCAAATTGCCTCAATTACCTCCTACCCCTCTGTGGAATCCTGCACCAATAATATAAATAGTAAATACCTATGTTTACCACAAATTTCTTGAGATTTCCTTTTAAAATATTTTTAAAATTACCAAAGCTAAAAGAGATATAGCACTTTTTGGTAAGCTAATGAGATTGTGCCACTTTCATTGTTTAATATTTACATATATTTATTATTTTTAAATATTTTACTGAAATTTTACGAAAATTGAAGAAACTTCATCAAAATTTTATGAGCCAAAGGCATTTTTTATCCGTTTTCCGATGCAATTATAGCAAAAGTAAAAGTTTAAATTAATCATTACAAATTAAATTGGTAACTGAATTAAATTATTTAAATTAATTTATGCATATAAGTAACAATAACTACTTATAGTGTATTCAAATCCAAGCCGAACTAAACAAAAACGCCCAGACGCTTCATAACTCCTTCTTATTGGTCGATTCGGAATCTGTTGTAAATTATTATTAAAGGTCCCAGGGGAGGCCGCGTGTGAAATTTATGCGAAATTTTCAGTAAATTGCGAAACTTTCAATGAAATTTCTGAAACTTTCACAGGCAATGTTGAAATTTTCGGATTGAAAATTTCATTTGAAAATTTTAAAAATTTCACTTTTCCAACTAAATGAAATATTTCAAGTTTGAAACTTTCAAAGTTGAAATTTTCATTTGAAAATTTGAACTTTCCCAACCCTAATTGCAAATTATATTATTGGTATTTTACCAGAGAACTAGTTTTAATGGATATTTTTAAGATTTATGCAGGCAGGGCTCCTAGCAGTCCATGTTGCGAGAAATAGTGACTTAAGAGACTAATAATAAAAAATAAACGACCAAATATAGACCAAATTAATTACCGAAATAACTATAAAATGGAGGTATACAGTTTTTTTTGGGATAAAAGATCTAAATTTAAATTTAAAATATATAGAGATAACTTGAAATTATAAATTTTTATTGAATTAAATTTAACAAGTAAGCAAATCTGTTATAAAATACATAAATAACAAAAAAAATATTAAATTCTGTAATAAATTATAACTTATAATTGTACTTTTTTGAATCACATTTATATAACAAATTGCTTTAGGAGGGACCTAGCGAACCGAAACTTTAAACGTAAACGAAACCCTAGACCCAACCAGAAAAATTCAGCAATAATTTTGGCGGGCGCAAAAGTGCAAAGTTTTCGAATGTTTCACTTGGTTTACTGTGGTTTCGATATTTATAAAACTGTGAATATGTATATTTAAAAAAATATGTTTCTTTAATAATTGATTTTACCAGAAAATATAGACTTTATAGACTTTAGGTAAAAAAAATAGACTTTTATAGACTTATGACAAAAATATAGACAAGTCTTTAAAAAAACTACCTGCTGGGAGCCCTGTGCAAAGGTGAAAAACCGGCGCTGCTTATAAACCGACAATTTTTTTTAACATCTCTTGCACGCCCTCTAGCTCGCACTCAATCTACTTACCGGTGTCGGAACCTGCGGTGGCACCCGTTTGAACGGACCTCTGCGCAGAGGCGGCGTCCTGATTGCTGTGATTGTCGTCGCTGTCCGACTCCGTCTCGGCCAGCAGGTCGAGCTCCGTGTCGCTGTCCTCGCCCTGCATGCGCGCGTTCTCCTGCTGATCGGACGGCACTTCGGGCGCCTCGCTCTCCGACATCGACACCTGCCTGTCGCCGGAAGGTGCGTCCGCATCGGTGGGCGCGTCTTCGTGCTCCGACGCGTTGTCGTCATCGTTATCGATGGCCATACCTGAGTTTTTCAAGATATTTAATAATTTCTTGAAGTTATTAGGTCAATTCTCATATAACTTGTTCCGATGCTGTATCCACTTATTTTTGTGAAAACTAATTCTCGCTCAAGGTTTTTTTAGTGTAATAAGCATGAAGCATTTCAAGGTAATGGGAACTTAAATTATGACAACCATAATCTATTAATTTTTTCCTAAAATGCAGGCTTTATGTTGCAAATGTCACGTAAGTTACCGGTCACCAACTGCAATATCCTAACATCGATGAATATTTCAACAAAATGGCCGTTCAAACAACTAATGTTAGTGCTTGATTAACTAAAAATAGACTTAAGATTGACAAAAAATTATTTTATCCGAAATCGGCAGTGAAGTAGTCAACAATCGTAAATTAAAATAAATCGGCAGTAAAGTTCTACTTTACTGCCGATTTCGGATAAAATAATTTTTCGTCAATCTTAAGTCTATTTTTAGTTAATCAAGCACTAACATTAGTTGTTTCAACAGCCATTTTGTTAAAATATTCATCAATGTTAGGATATTGCAGTTGGTGACCGGTAACTTACGTGACATTTGCAACATAAAGCCTGCATTTTAGGAAAAAATTAATAGATTAGGGGTCATAATTTAAGTTCCCATTACCTTAAAATGCTACATGCTCATTACACTAAAAAAAACCTTGAGCGAGAATTAGTTTTCACAAAAATAAGTGGATACAGCATCGAAAACAAGTTATATGAGAATTTACCATTAAGCGTAACCCTAAGCAACGTTTATTGTACCAAAGCTAATCATGCTTACTAAACTACAACATTTAAAATTGCTAGAATGTAAGGACAGTCGGTTTTTAATTTAATAAGCACAGGGTGTCCCGCGGCAATATTGTTTGGGGTGAAAGTTTGAGTCCATAATATTAATATTAAGAGGTCTATCATCGCAATTTTAGATTTTTTTTCCTGGGCGAGTTTTTGTCTCAGAACTCCCAAATCATTGAGTTTAACAAAATTGACTTAAAAATATTTTTTGAAGAAAATTGAATGCTCTACAAAAAAGGTTTGATTGGAATTTTCCGTCAGATGAACCCTTTTCTTACAATCATGCCTTAAAAATTTGTATACTTTTACAACTTTGGAATTTTGTAATTCAAGTAAAAATCAGTACCCTGAAAAAAAAACCCAAATATTCTTATGGGAAATCAAATACTTTACAAAAACAGTCCTTTATCATTTTTGGCTAAATTCACCCCATCAAAAATTATTCAAGGTTAAATTTGAAGTCAAAACGAAATTTTAACCTTGAATAACTTTTGATTGAGTGAATTTAGCCAAAAATGTTAAGAGGCTTTTTTTGTAAAGCATTTGATTTTCCATAAGAATATTTATCGGTTTTTTATGGGTACAGATTTTTACATGAATTACAAAATTCCAATTTAAAAGATCAAATGTAAAACTATACCAATTTTTAAGGCATGATTTTAAGGAAACGGTTCATCTGACGGGAAATTTCACCTTAACCTTTTTTGTAGAGCATTTAATTTTCTTAAAAAAATATTTTTAAGTCAATTTTGTTAAACTCAATGGTTTGGGAGTTCTGAGCCTAAAACTTGCTGAGGAAAAAAAATTAAAATTGCGATGATACGACCTCTTAATAATATTATGGACTCAAACTTTCACAACAATTTTTTTTTGTCACCCCAAACCATATTTTCGATATACTTTTAAAAAAAAAATGGTTGATTTTTTTGGCCCAGTCTATTAATCATGCTCCATCAGTGAAATCAATTAAGAGTTAAGAGTCGTAAGACCATCAGAACAAAAAATTCGCAACTCTCAATTAATTTCACTGATGGAGCAGGATTAATTTGCCATGATGAATTGTTGTTTTTGTAAAAGGCTTTCGCGCAAAGAACGATATCTTCACCCGTGAACCGATCTATACAAACTGATTTCCCAAAGGATAACCATCATCACTCGCAGTCTCATTTCGGGTTATTTCAAATTTAAAAACAAATTTGCCGCGAGACACTGTATTAAACCTAGTTAAATTAAATTAAAAAAATAACTTCCTATATGATTGTCGTCCAAAGTAAGACTATGGTTAACACGAAAACTTAAAAAAGGTTTATTTGAATAATTTACAATTGAGGATCTCGCTGAAAGAAAATCTGTGATTTTTGCCCATTTAAGGTTATCTATCTGCAAAACAATTTTTTTTTTATTAAACGTAAATATTTTCACTCCAAACCAAATTTTAAGTCATATTTTTACTATATTAAAACCACTTTATTACCTAAATAATTTGTATTTGCCTGGAAACTTTTTAACGATTGAAGTGGTATAAAAAAAATTTATAAAAAATAAACTTTACGTGAAAAATAAATTAATAAAGATGTCATCCATTAGGTACTTAATAAAAATTCATTACGACCTTATTCAAAATGAATGATTGTTTAAGGCTTTATTTAATATTATAAGTTTTTTGGATTTATTTATTTTGTATGTCATATATTTTTTTAAACACCAAAATATTTAGCGGGCATTGATTTTTTGTGGTACTTAGGGTATACCCGAGGGTATACCATTATAAAATATAAATTAATGACAAAGAAAATATAAATATTAAAGGTTTAGAACGAGGAACATACATTTAGTAATTTTAACGTTATTTTATATGTGGTATTTAATTTGTTTTTATTGCATTAATATTTTGGTAGCTTGTATAGTTATGTAGTAAAAATAACGTATTCAACCATCCCCAAATTTGGTAATTTTTAGTATGGTACCGTTTTCGTTTACTGTAAAAATAAGTTCAATCTATGAGTAAACATGTAGTTATTTTAACTTAAAATGGCGCTTGGGCATTAATGCCATACAATAGTATTTAGTTTTTACTAGAGATGGGAATCGGAAAGTTTCCATTTTAAGGAAACTTTCCGTTTTGGAAAGTTTCCAATTGGGAATTTATTTTCATTTTGAAAGTTTCTTTTAAGCTACCGGAAACATTCCTTGGAAACTTTCCTTGTGTTTTTCATTTAAATGTCAATTGTTTAACCGCTGATTTTCGTTAAGGCCATGATACAAGGCCAAGAAACTTTGAATAAGAATTTCATTTGTGTTAATTTAAAGCAGAAGCAGAAGTATAAATAATGTAAGTTATGTTACATAACCTCAATGAAGCCGGATTATTCAGCATCAACACAAAAAACTTTTTTAAAAAAAGGTAAACAAAATAAATACAATAAAAAAAGTTAAAATCATTCTTACATTTTTGTTGTTTATTTATAGGCATAGCACAATGCTAAGAGAAAAATCTAGTGTTTGGAATTATTACAAAATAGTGCAAAATAACAAAAAAGATCATGCTCAAAGCAAGTTCTGTAAGAAAATCTATGTCGTTAATGCAACCAAAAATTTGACAAAAAGTTAATGTGTTATATATTTTTGCAAGTCCCTGGCATAAAAAAAAATATTTTCGCAATAAAAAATTTTTTTTTGAAACTTTCGGAAAATTTCGGGAATTTTCGATGGAAAGTTTCCGGGAATTTTCGTCAAATGGGAATTTTCCCATCTCTAGTTTTTACTACCTTATGAAAAATTGTGAATAATACAGATATGTACATCCCTTTGCAGCAGAGCCTTCAATCATAATTCTTTTTAAATATTGATACCTTACTTTTAAAATCTTGTGGGTAGTTTTATATCATTCGCGGTTTTTTAAGTCAACACTGCTACTATTTTTCTAGATAGGACAAAAGCATAGAAATCCCTGAAGAGACAAAACCCAATGAATGTCACTTTATTTTTGGTAATTTTTAAAGTATTTAGGATATTTCTTCATCGAAAAACTTATTTTTTTCCAAATTAACCACTCTTACTCTGAACAATAGCAATAAAAAAAACTATTTTTATCATATAAAAGGTATGTTTAAAGAACCTTTAATGAAATATTGCATCTCTATCAATCTTTATTTACATTGGTTTTACCAAACTGGCAATACTTTAATTCTTCTGTTACTACTACTAAAATTGAAAGAGTAAAACTTGGCTTAAATAAATTAAAAACTAATTATACCAACCACATTTAAAGTTGATAAAATAGATAAATCGGAAATAGTTTTAATAATAAATTTTTATATTTCAGATTATTGTAATTTAAAGAACAAATAATAATTTTGTTTAAGTAATTAAAATTACATGTGCAATACTTCTAAAGGTTATGGGTACCAAATATAGAATTCAAGTAAAAACTGATTTTCAACAAAGTTTGAATTTCAAACTGTTTGCAATTTAACCTATTATCTATTTGAAAAAAATTAATAGGCATTCATTGACATTGTGCTTAAAAAACAAACTTCAAAGAAAAAGCAATACTATATACAGTGTCCATGGATGGGAGTTAAAAAGAGGAAAATTTTTTTTTACTTTTCTCAGAAAGTTTCATCCTTGATAAAAGTTTTTGCTTGAAGAAAATGCGGCACATCATTTTTATTGTCCATGCTTAATTTAAAATTTTAATTTTTCTGAAAATTTTGGACTGAATATTTTTTGATAAAATCTTTTTCGACCGAATTTTGTTCATGTTATTTTCTATCGAACAAATGAATGTTTCAAAATATATTTTTTCTATAAATTAAAAGTAAAGGCATTGAACATAATAGAAACGATTACTTTTGAGAAATAACAAATAAACAAAAACTAATCAAAACTGATTTTTATCAAAAATTTTCAGAAAATTCAAAATTGCAAATTAACCATAGACAATAAAAATGATGTGTCGCATATTCTGGGGTTTGAAATCAAACAAAAACTTTTATTAAGAATGAAATTTTCTGCAACCCCTTTTTTGGATATACTGCACATATAGATACTGTACAAATAACGTTTGCATGCTTTTTTTAATTTTGTGGTCAAACACACAAACTACAGTCAGTGGCGCCACCTACTTTCGCCGTCATTGACGTCGTTAAGCATGTCCCTCGCGCTGGCTCGAGCTCTACGTACAGCCTCAGCCAGGAACGGGTACGTATCGTTAGAAGCGGTATTGGTAGCTAAACGAGACCCACCTGATGGAGCAAGAGGATCGACCAGGAATAACTCTTCAGAACCCTAAATATAAAAAAAGGTTTTTAGAATATTTGCATTTAAAAGATTCCATGTGACATTTGTGTTTAGTCAATTTTTGCGGAAATAATTTTGAAACATTATTTGATACAGGTAAATGTTTTGAAAATCTCTAGTAAACTATAAAAACTGATTATATTTTGTTTTAGGCAAAAATAAAAGCAACAGGGCTAAGTTTTAGTTTGTTAGCATAAAAAGTTTTATACAGTACCCATTAGTTTGCGACTCACCCCTGTAAAATCTTTATTTATTGTGCGATTTTAACTGGATTTGTTTTAAAGTGTAGATCTTGATGAACTGTATTTTTTTAAAAAACGCCATATTTTTAAAAATACAAGGCCTACTGTGTCAGTTTTTAAGAGTAAATTTTTAAGAATTCATATTAGCTACTTTTTTAAACAAAATCTAAGCACGGCACTGGATTCACCACCCCTCAAAACGACCCTATACTAAATTTTATTAAAAAATTTTAAGTAGAAAAATGCAATTATAAGTATAAAAATTTATTATGTCAAGTTATCCATGAAAAAAATATTGAAATAAAATTTAAATTAAACTTATAGTAATACCTAGTACCATGTTACTATTAGTTTAATTTTATTTCAATGTTTTTACATGGATAACTTGACAAAATAATTTTTGTAGTTATTATTGTGCATTTTTCTACTAAAAAATTTTTAATAAAATTTAGTAAAGGGTCGTTTTGAGGGGTGGTGCCGTGCTTAGATTTTGTTTAAAAAAATCGCTAATATTAATTCTTCAAAATTTACTCTTAAAAACTGATATAGTAGGCCTTGTATTTTGTACAAATATGGCGTTTTTTGCTCCAAAAATACAGTTTATCAAGATCTACACTTTAAAACAAATCCCTTTAAAATCACACAATAAATAAAGATTTTACAGGGGTGAGTCACAAACAAATAGGTCACACAGTATAAGACAGTCATATATAGAACTTTTTATCCTAAAAAAACTAAAACTTAGTCCTGTTGCTTTAATTTTTGCCTAAAATAAATAACAAAAAAATATAATCAGTTTTTATAGTTTACTAGCTATTTTTAAAACATTTAGCTGGATCAATTAATGTACAAGACCAAAATATTAAAGTTATGTGATAATTTTTTAGGATTATTTTTATGAAAAAAAATGTCTCACGGAATCTGAAATAAAATTAAAATGTTTTATCTGTAACGAATAAAATTTACTGTTAATTTCGGATTTGTGAAATTTTTTTTAAGCTGGTCGATTGAAGAGTGGTAAAAGAAAACTCTGTATAATAGGATGCTGAAAAAACTACAAAACTTACGTTTAATATATCATTTGGTGATGTGGCCAAGGTGAATGGCGCTGTAGGTCTAGCAACACCAAGCCTGACAGGCGCAATCAAAGAATCCGCTGTCTCGCACAACTCCTCGATGGAAAGTTTGGACAACGATTGGAAAATCCTCTTGCACTTCGTCAACGGTTGATTCTGATTCACAAGCGTTCTTCTCTTCAAGGCATTCGGCACCATCTCAATGCTGAATATCACGAATATCCTGACGACGGATCTGACGAACCTACGGGCAACGAACGAAGCGGCTTCGGCTTGTTTAGGATCGGGGTTCTTCATTTCTTTGATAAGGGTGTCCAGGAGAATGTCCAACACCATCTGGCATTTGACCAGAAAACAATGAGTGAATTTGTCCAGGAGGGTGGTGCCCGTTTGACCAGCCACATAAGGCTGATCGGCGTACTGAGTGTCGTTAGATTCCCGCGTTCCGGACATGATCATGCTTTTTACGGCCTTCCAATCGCCCAAAAGGCACTCTAGAGCTTTGCGGCTAAACCGTGGAGGTTCCAGATCGTGCTCTGGCATATCAGATTCAACTTGAAGAAAGAAAATTAACAAATATTTTATTCGAAATGTTATCGGGTTTACTTACTGTCCGAAGATGGAGTTTTGTTTCTTGAGTTTGCTGAAGCAGTCCTGGGCCTTGAAGTTCTGAATTGCCTTTGTTCCTGGTTCTGTCTGCCAACAGTTTGTACTAAGAATAACAAGATACTCTCTCCTCGTGAATTTGCTAGAGTAACTAGATCTGTCTCTTTCACCAATCTGGTGAGCAGCTCAAAACGTACAGTTTGGTTGCCCATAATCAGAGCTTTACATTTGCATTTTTCCCAACAATCGCAGTAGGCCGTGGGGGAAGACTTTTTCAACTTACAGTCGTGCCCTTTGTGACAAACCTTTGAACACTCGGTACAACAACAAAGCGTTCCGGTCAATCCACAGGTGCGACATTCGAAAATATCCTGGTTTATATGCTCGGCGCCAGTCCACGTAAAGCTGCACGTATCGTTGCAGCATAAAACATGCAGTGGGGAATGGTCGGCGTTAGAACCCTTGGGGAATATCATTTCTTCCTTCTCCTGCGCGGTACCCAATTTATTGATACGATCGAAAATTTCCAAAGCTGCTGGATAGCTTCGGGAGGATACCGCCAACATGAATGGTGTTTGACCCTGAGCATCTCTGAAAAAAAAAAATTACTGAAGAATTTCTGAAGAATCATTAGAAAAAATGTAAAATGCATTGTGTCAGTGAATGAACAGTACCAAAAACCAAACTACTCGAATACTTTCATTTATTCAAAATCGATTCCCAGACTTAGTTAGATTATAAGAAAACAATTTTTATAGAAACGTGCAATGTGAAAATTGAATGCTCCCATAACATGTGATTTATCAAAATAGTTATAATGATTTTTCAATGTATACCTACTAGTAATGACAAAACTTTAGGTAGGTATACTTTGAATTTGAATTTCCTAAAACAAAGGTGTAAAAACAATTTAGTTTTTTAAAATTAAGTACCTAATGGTTTTATATTTGAGATATCCCATACTGTGCTAATTTCCAAGAGCCAAGTATAAAAGCTTTAATTTAATTTTAACCATATTCAATTGTTTAATATACCTATATTGATATGACCAAATTAACACACTCTTCTAAATAATCCAAAATACTTATTTATTTTGTTCAAATAGATTTTCCTAAGCTTAAAATTACAAAATTAATTGATATTGTTTTCTATCTTTGATACACATATTATTATTCCATAATTGTCAAGATAGATTTTTTTAAATAAATGCTGTTTATTTAAACCTGTTTTATGCAAAAAACCAGATATGTAGACCAAATGCACAAAAATATTACTTGGCACCATACACTTTAGAATTTCATTAAATGCAGTATTTATATTCATAAATTCTTAAACCATTGTTATTGTGATACTATAAGGATTTATTAATTTTTAACGCTTTAAACATAGATAAGCTGTAAACTTATAAATATGATTTCTTTCATTGACTATACAGAAATATATCCAGAAATGCCTTAAATGCCAAATTTTCAAAAGACTTCGTTCCGTACGTAGTCACGTGGTATGGAGCTTAGTACCTACTAGGGGTGTAAATCCCGGGATCCAGTAAAAAATCCGATCCCGAAAATCCCGGAATCAAAAGTCCCAATAAAATATACTATTTTTTCAAACTCATAAGCATATGTATAAACACTTCATTTTTTTACGCAGTTCAAGTCAAATTATTATACACCGCCGTACAATAATGAAAATACATTGAAATTACATAGCAAGAGTGGTTCCATCTATAGCATAAAATCAGCAGTGTAAAAATTACAGGTCATTGTAGAATAAATTTATGTACATAACCTATAATATAAACATATTTCAAACGTCAAACCTGAAAAAATTTCACAAACTTGATAATTTCAATGTAAGTTAGTTTGTTGCTTTATTTTAAATTGGTTTTAAAATTAATGATATATTTTTTCTGGACTGGCCCCGGGATTACCTTACCTTTAGACCCGAAAGGCCCGGGATTGGAAAGAGGGCTTGGGATTGACACCACAGACCACCAAAACAAATGGACGGCGCATTGCCATTCAATAACAATGATTTGTTTGCGGTCAACAAACGGTCACAGTCTAAGCGTCAAATTGGAGATATAATTTTATGTTTTCTTTCAGTGACGTCAACAAACGGTCACAGTCTAAGCGTTAAATTGGCGATAGAATTTTATGTTTTCTTCCAGTGACGTATTGGGATTAAAAAAATAATAAGTAGGTAGGTACTTACAAACGATATTTCCATGTATTGTTATTTTTAGTAAAAAATAATGTATTTAAACTCCATAATTAACTTAAACACGATAGAAATACACAAACGAAAACACAAAACAACAAGCTGTCAACCTTTTTCTATGCTGTCAAATATGACGAATTTACCAACGTTGTTAATATTTAATTTTATTAATTATTACATGATTTACTTTCTTTAAATAGAGAAAAATATCTAAAGAAAATGATGAACAAATCCTTTTTACAATTTTTTTATTATTCAAACGAATTACTGGTAATTATTAATGTTCATTATTTTATGATGAACGTCCAAAAAGGCGTGTAATCTATACTTCTGACAACGTTGGAAGCCTTGTTTCTTTCGACGGTGTTTAGAATGTGAAACTATGCTTTACTCGCTTTTTAAACGTAAACAAATCCGTCCATTTGTTTTGGTAGTCTGTGATTGACACCCCTAAATACTAGGCCCTAGTACCTAACTTTCAGTAACTTGTTTTTCATGAATAATTTAACTTGAAAAAGGTTTATATCTTTGGCAGCCTGGTTTTTCAATACATTTTCTAGATTATACATGCGCTACAAGGTAACGTTTTCTTCATTGCTTTTATCGTATCTAAATGACGCAATATTTGGCCCTCCAAGAGGCAGCCTGGTATAAGACGTTATATAAAATGTGTTATACTAACTCTTGGTCTATAACTGAAACAGTCAGATGACAAATTGACTTGGGGATAGTTGACTTTATTGAGTTTTTAATCCCTAAAATTACGTAACACAAAGTAATTTAATCCCAAAAAAAAAATTGAAAATATAACTGTCAAAAACAAAGTTAAATCTAAAGTCCCTCAATTAAAACCAGGAGCATATAGTGTAGTGGCATATAGTTAGGAGCAACTTTTTCATTGTAGATTTTTTACTAAACCAAAATACATGTTTTATCTGCCACAAATACAATCTACATAAACTATAAATTCCGGATTGGCTGCAAATATCTTAATCTTGCTCTGTTTTAGCGACCAACTTTAAGAATATAACTTAAGCTGGTGGATTGAAGAGCTGATAAAAATGTCTAGTTGTGAATAAAATAATACAATTTTTACTTACTTTGCACTTAACAATTCTATAAGATGCAACTCCAAAGCAGTAGATTCAAAGAGTAAAGAATGCAATATCTGCACTGCGTTGGTTCTTCTTTCCGCTGGATCAACGATTAGATTACTAGAGGCATTATTGCTGTTACTGTTTCCTTTATTGGCAGCACTGCTTCCCAAACCCATGAGACTATCCTCGTCGCCAGAAGTGACATCGAAGGACTCTGGAGGCCAGTTGTGATTTGGCAAGGGTTCTTCTTGAACGAAATTTTGCGCATCTAAAGAGTAAATTTATTAAATTATAAAACATATTATTTTTGTCTATTATTACCGCTATCAGCGTCTTTGTTGGATGTGGGTGTGCACATATTGACAACAGCATGGAAAATGTTCCTGTTGCCGTCGCAACGTTCGTTTAAGAATGATGGCATGGCATTGTTACTTTCTGTAACAAAATTTATGAATTAATATTTAGGATTATAAATAATAATAAGCACTTACTCATGTCATTGTCCAATTGTGATAAAACTTGTCGCACACCATCAATATCGCATCGTAAAATTTTCGGCATCAACAATTGTTGTTCCAACGCAAACACCAATATAGCAACCTGGTTCTTCATATTAAGGCCAGAGCAGGGCAAGGATAAAGTTCCAGCGGCAAGACATTTCACAGGAGGTAAATCCAAAAACTGTGGATCTCTTATAGCTTCAGCGCAATCTTTTGCCAAAGGATATATGGTGTTATTTCCGTCCCTCAATATCAAAATCGATTCAGAACTCTCCCCCGCACAAATCAAATTAATCAAAGATGGGTACAAGCCCATAAATGAGGCCGTATCGCTGGGAAAAGCGTTGTCTTGCTCGACTCTGCCAGAGCTTATGTTGTACACCACGTAACTTAATTTAGTGCCGTTTCTTACGACCGCATGGATGCCTTGACCGTCGACAGCCACCGTCAAAATTTGACCTCCGGTTTCCGAAATTTGAACTCTTCTGGGCGTTCTCTGAAAACAATCCGGAACTCTGGAGTTCGACGAGGATTTAATAACTTGCAGTTCGTCTTTTCTCATCAGCCTGCAATCCTGCAGAATATCGTCTGCGTCCTTCGATTCGCGTTCTTTAGTATGCGCAGTCGGGAATTTAACGGCTGCGTAGCTGCCGTCGATTTTTAGTACGCGACCGGTGGGCACGCTGCGCACGTCTTCCACGAAAATAACGTCGCGCAGCAGCCATTCTTCTTCGTCTTTGCGCTGATCTCCACTAGATTCGGAGCCGGTTGCCACAAGACGTTTTTGACGCTCTAAAATTATGCTTTTCGGAGACTAATTTTGAAAACCTAAAAGAATACTTACTGTGGCTGTTCGTGATGCTTCCTGTGTCACTGCACGTGCTGGATGCTGGTGACGGCGGAGGTGGCATATCTAAACGATCGTTGTTTTCTTTTATTGATGTATTTTTAGTCGATAAATTGGCTGTAAGAAAATGTTTTCTCACTACTTTCAACAAAACTTTTTTTTGTTCAAATACATATTATGTTTCATTATCAGAAAGACTAATCAATAATATCACAGAAAATCAATGGTTAGCAATTTTCATCATAAAAAATGGGTCACTGTGCAACCGCGCGCCTAGAATTCGTAAAGGAACATTCAAAAAATAATTGATCGAATTTGCTAGAACTTAAACAATAAACGCTATCCCAGAACACACTATAATAATAATAATATTACATTTAACTTAATTTAACATTAACACTTTTCAAGAGAAGTAATACAAAAATCAAGTTTGTTGTGAATGGATGTAAAAAAACATGAAAAAAAATCTAGAAAAAAACGGTTTTTTTGTTTTTTTTTTTCAAATCCGCTGCAATAAAGCATATTCTGTCAATAAAAAACATCAATCATAAAAAATGGAGTATTTTTTCAAAATGAAATTTTGAGTAAAATGTATATTAATAATGAAGTGAAATGTAGAATATATTACATTTTTCATTATTGAGACTAAAAAATCTGATTTCTTATTATTTGGTAGTTTCCACACAAGAAACCAATAGCAATGTTAAACTTCTACACTAATAGAAAAAATTAAAGGATAAAAAAAAATCCAAATTTTTTGCGATTTTTCGGATAGCTGTATCTTCGTTAAAAATGGTCGTAATGGAGCCGTAAAAAAAGCAATTTGAAGCTTGAAGTTTCTAGATTTGAGATTTTTAGATAAAAAACGTGCAACGCTCAATCCTAACAAATAGCATAATAAAAAATTCGAATTTTTTTTGGCTTTCTTTTTTGGTCCAAGGAATGTTCTGACTTAACCACCAATGAATAAATGTTCTACAAGAATTTGCTATTATTTTTTTTTTTTAATTCCATACTCTACATGAATTTGAAAAATCATGAAAAAGTGCTTTTGGTAGCTTTTTGAAAAATCAAGCGCTGAATCAAAAATATTAAGCGCGGCCCTTCAATTCAGTGGTGGTGGCGCGTGCAAAGCGCGAGACTGTATTTACATTTACTAAATGTCATTTAGTGGCTAATTTTAGTCCATGAACTGGACTAGAAACATAAAAAATTAGGCGAATGAGACAAATCTTGAAAAAAAACCTAAAATATGAAAAAAACCATTTGAAAAAAACTATGAAAAAAACCTGAAAAAAAAACGGACCGTTTTTTTTCAAGTCGCATCTCTAGTTGTAATAGTAAAAATTAAAAGAAACATTTGTTAATTCTAAATTGTATAGCCCAGTGACAAATTTAACTTGACCGACTATTTTATTTAATTTTACTTACTTAGTCCACTGGTTCCAGGTCCACTAGCATCTCCACGTCCCTTGTCCCCAGCAGTTGTACTTTTACTGTCAACGTTGATGATTTTAAATGTGCAAGTGTCGCTCAAAGTCCAAGCGGAATTTTGAAGTTGACCCACTTTGGGCACTCCACCGGCGACCGTAAAAGCAATCGCTCCAGGCTGATACATTGGACTGTTTTTCATGCAAACCTGCGAGCCCGTGGTGATATCCGATTGGTTGCTAGATGGTCTCTGTTTTCGGCATTTCGTGCGATATTTCTCCCATAAACGTTTGCGTTGGGCAAAAGGCAACACACCCCTGAAAGAATTTAGTATGTAATACAATACTTTAAGGGGTCATACAACATTGAAGACCTTAGAATTTTTAAAAGATGGGCAAAACTGTCACTATTTTAAATCAATCTGTTAACAAGATTTGATTATTTGTTTGAGCAACTTTAGCGTTTTTGAAAAAATATAAAAAAAGTGAATTTCTATCTTCTTTTAGCACTGTTTTGGATAGGGATGTAATAGCATTTTAGCAAAATAGTGGCTTCAAATTCATCAGCGTATTTCACCATCAAGAACTGGTTTTCCGAATTTTGTCATGGTAATTACATCGAAAAATGTTGCTGAATGTTCTTGCTAAGACCATAGGTACCTCAACTGGATAGGGGTCATCCATTAATTACTTGAGGAAATTTTGGCGATTTTTCGACTCCCCCACTCCCCTTGGTGAGATGTCGTGAGATTTTATTCGACCCCCTCCCCCCTCCCTTAATCTCACGTGAGATTTTTTAAAATGCATGGTTTCCATTAGATTTATTAGAAAAACAATTTGCTTATAATTATTTACTTAATTTAACCCAGTTTTCTCGCAATTTTACACTGTTTCATTCGAAAAGAAAAAATTACGTGATATTTGCCGAGGCCACCCTCCCCCCACGTGAGATTGGGCGAGGTTGGGCTCGACCCCCTCCCCCCCCCTAAACCCCTCACGTAATTAATGGATGCCCCCATAAGCTGTTACGATTTTGCATGAACATATAAAGGCAAAAATCAAGTTTCACCAAAAAAAATCCCCAGCTAACAAAGCCGCTATAACCATTTAAGAAATCAAGAAATTAGTCTGAGAATTGCTGTACATTTTTTCCTTTTTGAGAATTTAAAAAATCGTTGGCTGGATATGCCTTAAATGCTGAAGTACTTAATCGACGCTGTAGATGCATTTTTTAACGAAAAAGAGCAATCGATCTATTCTAAAGAAATAAAGAAGTTCTTGGAATAAATGTACCATCAAATGTAAGGCTCTGAAAAGGTACTTTTTGTAATTTATACAGGAGAATGCACCTTCATTTACCAGCAGAGTTGCCAAAAATTGTTTGGAAATCGAATGTGTGACTGTTTTTAATCCAATTGAGAACTTAAGGGATAAGGTTAAAACAAGGATTAGAGTCCGTTAAAACAACCCGGCAAAGCAGGGCAACTAAGAAGTAGTTTTAGAGGAGTGGGAAAAAGTTCAACAAAAAGAAAATAATAATAAATAGGTAACTTAATAAAAAGCATGCCTCGTCGAATTCGTGCTTGCATTAAGGCTAGCGGTGGAAACACTGATTATTAAATTAACAAAAACCTATTATTTCTTCCTAAATTCTAATTTATTGTAGAGTTGATTCTCATAGAAATTCAAATTTTTTCTAATCTGTTATCTAGAAAATTTGTTTTAATAAATTTTTCTTTATTTTTGTAATAAAATGGTTTTTATCCAAATCACTTTTTTTAATCTAATCTAGTCTTTCTCATAATATATGGTGCACCAAGTATCCTTATATAGAAATATAGAGAGCAGTTGGATAATTACAAGTCTATTAAAATGGCATTTAAAAATTTGGAAAAAAATCAGTTCTCAAATAATTTGAAAAAAAACTGAAAACCTGTCATAACCAAAAATCGATATAACTTCGTTATTCCTGAAAATTTTGAAAAAAAGTAAGTTTTACATCTAATTTACATTTACATTATAGACCAGGTGAAGAGAGCACTTATCACCAAACATACATTTCACTGGCAAGGCAGTATATTGTGTGCGAGGTAATTAATAAGCTTTCGACGCCGAGTTTTATATACTACATATTTTTTGTTAAGCATTTAATTAAATAATTTATTAAGATTCGGTCACATCATTTTTATGTTAGGTTCAACTGACATGATGACATTTTAGCTTTATTTCTAAACGGAGTTTAAGAAAAATTTGTCTTTTGAACTAGTATTAATATGAAGTATTTCTATATTATATAATAAGTTATAAAGACTTATTAGTAATATGTCTTATAATATGAAAATTATTGTACACATTTTCATCCAATTTGAGTTTTTTTTCGCCTACTGGATTTTGAGATACCACCATCATCTTTTGTTTTCTTATGGCCGCCATATTGGAATTTTACATGGTTAGATTTTTGGATTTCAAAGGTTTTTCGTTTTTTTTCAAATATTTTGAGAACCGCTGGATTTTTTCCAATTTATAAATTTCATGTTAATAGACATGTAATTATGCAACTTTTGTTTCTTTCTCTTCAAATAAAAAAATACCCATAGAAGTATACACATGGAAAATATTTCTTCAAAATTTTATCAAGATTGGAGCACAAGAACTTTAGTTAAGGCAATTTATAGGTAATATAAATTTAGCTTAAAACCTAAAACGCGATTATCTCGGAATAGTATTTTTTTAAAAGTGCATTTGCGGTCACCAACAATTACCGATCAATCTGAAATTTTGTAAATATTGTTTCTAATTACAATAGCTAGTTCGTGAACAAAGGGATTTTTTTTTTGGACGAAAATTTCAATATTTTACTACCAGAAAGTCAATTTTTGGAACATCGAAAATCGAAGTTTTGGGAAACATCATGACCATTTACGTAACAATTTTTTTGCAAAACCCTTCGTTTAAGAATAAGGTGATACCATAAACTATGGTGTTTTTTGAACTTAGCCGTTCCCTATAAATTAAGGTCACCGCAAAATATAAGAAAAGCGTTTTATGGAATTTTGTTTACAAACGCATCAATACATATACCATTAAATTTTAATACATTGTAGTTTGTTTAAATATTATTATGATTACATACCTGAAAAAAAACCTTAACTTTTCCCATATGTTAAAATAAGGATATATTAAAAATGTATTAAAAAAATACAAAATTTAACACAATAATGTTATATCTGCCACAAATAAAATCCACATAAACTGTAAGTTCCGGATTAGCTGCAAATATAATAATCTAGCTCTGTTTTAGCGACCAACTTTAAGACTATATCTTAAGCTGGTGGATTGAAGAGCTGTAAAATCGTGTAAAACCAACGTTTTTTGTAACCAATATAAAATTTTAATTTTTCTCTTGCTTTATATGCCAACATTAGAATATTCTTTCAATACTCACCACCAATAAAGGCTGCCGCTATCCAATCTAGCTACCGTGTAGAGAGGACACGTATGAAGTGCTACGATTTTATCGGTTTGAAACTCCGTGTAGGCCTGCGCTGCATGTTCCAGCTTGCTTGACGCCGTAGTAAGAAGTTCATCTAACCAGGTTGCAACTTTTCCAGATTCAGTGGAAACGGAACACCTCGTTGAGCAAGCTGATAAATGAACCACTTTTTCTCCGGTCAAATTTAGTGGTATAGTTTTTGGATGATGAATATTTGGATTCTAAAGAAAAATAAATTAAGATTAGATTTCAATAATTTGCTCTATTTTTTTTACCTCTGCATGTTTGTAAGGCTCATGATCGTTCCACTTCCATTGATAAAGCTGTCCAGTTGATGAGAGAGCTATAAGCTCGCTGTAAAGAGTTGCGATTTGAACAAATTTTGGAGCTGGCTCAGGCCAAAACTCCAAATCGTCGGATATCCAGATAGGGCAGGCGGTATCTTTCTTTTTGTGTTCTAAAAAAAATTAAATGTTATAACGTAATAATATTCAAATGAAACGCAGTAATCTTGTTATTTCAATGATTTAAGGACGCTGAAGATATGAAAAATTGTATACATTACATGAAAATATATGGAGGGCATCAAAATAAAAATTGTACAGAAGATAAAAACTTTTAAAGTTTCATTTTTGTAAATGTTTAGTTGTATATATATAGATAGACCTATCTACACCTCTCTGCTTTGATGCCCTCGATATATGCATTTGGCATAGAGAAAAAGGTGAAAAAAAAACTAGAAAAAAAACGGTTTGTTTTGTTTTTTTTTTCAAATCCGCTACAATAAAGCATATTCTGTCAATAAATAAATCTTTTTGAAATAAAATTTTGAGTAAAATGTATATTAATAGTAAAGTGAAATGTAGAATATATTACATTTTTCATTATTGAAAATTTTGACCGAGACTAAAAAATCTGATTTCTTATTATTTGGTAGTTTCCACATAAGAAACCAATAGCAATGTAAAACTTCAACACTAATAGAAAAAAGATAAAAAAAATCCAATTTTTTTCGATTTTTCGGATGGCTGTATCTTCGTTAAAAATGGTCGAATTGGAGCCGTAAAAAAGCAACTTGAAGCTTGAAGTTTTTAGTTTTTAGATTTTTAGATGAAAAACGTGAAACGCTCAATCCTAACAAATACCGTAATAAAAAAATCGAAATTTTTTTGGCTATCTTTTTTGGTCCACGGAATGTTCTGACTTAACCACCAATGAATAAATGTTCTACAAAAATTTGCTATTGTTTTTTTTTTTTTTAAATTCCATACTCTACATGAATTTGAAAAATCACGAAAAAAAGTGCTTTTGCTAGCTTTTTGAAAAATCAAGCGCTGAATCAAAAATATTATAGGTATTTACTTTTTTCAGACCAAATCAAAACAAGTGCGGCCCTTATTGGTCAATTCGGTGGTGGTGGCGCGTGCAAAGCGCGAGACTGTATTTACATTTACTAAATTTCATTTAGTGGCTAATTTAAAAAAAAAACTAAAATATAAAAAAAACGTAAAATATGAAAAAAATCCATTTGAGAAAAAAAAACAATGAAAAAAACTGAACAAAAAAACAAAAAACAGGACCGGTCGCATCTCTAATTTGGCATATGGCATTTTGTAAATATAAAAAGGATCTCATTTAAAATATGCTCTCAAATTATTCAAAAATTATCGAGAAAATTATTTAATAACATCACACAAAAATTAGTAGTATACACCAAAAATTACTTACCTAAATCTTTTTCGTAAGGGCTGTCCCTAAGTGCGGTTTCCAGCCATCTTCTGGGTCCAAAATACTGGCGATCCCTCCAACGCGACAAATTTTCCCGGTCCCTGTCGGAACTGGAATTATTGCTGGGCGGTGCATCGCGATCGGGCAAACGGTTTCTGCTGCTGCTGCCGCGGCTGTTAAGGAAGCTAGTTTGAGCAAAGTCAAACGGCCAAAATAAAGTTAGTAAAAAACGAAAAAACAAACAAAATAAATAAAGAAATAAATTTATGCAAGAAAGAAAACCAAAACAAATCATACCGTTAAAAGAAAAGAAATGCAAAAAGATTAAAAAGGAGCAAAACACCATAAAGTGAGAGCTTCCAAAATACTTTGTTTTTCAGGAAAACGTTGGCAAGCTCAAAAAAGTCATAATCACTACAAAACAGCATGTATAATTAAAGAAAACGGATTTTAAGAAAAAATTAATTAAGATTGATTTTCTGCATGTCATGACATAAGCTCTTAGATAAGAATTTTATGTATTTATAAATTTAAATCACTAAAAAGAAGGTTTTGCATTTTAGGCAATAAATTTAACATTAATTTTCATATCATACTATGCTTTTTTGTAAAATATTCATTATTTTGTATTGCGTTCATGGTCTTAATTAGTTTAGTTTCTGTCAAGCTGTCCATTGTAACTCTTTGGTATATTTTTTTTCTCAAACGAACAAAAACTCTTACTTTCTGATTCCGGTGTAGCCGAACATGTCTTCGGAAAACATGGCGTCGGCGTCGATGATGACCGAATGGTCGGTATGAAAACCGCCATCCAATAGAGAGATAAGATCTTCCGGTACGTAAGAATCGGCTGCGTCATCGCCCTCTTCTCCTTCTTCGTCGTCGCGAGATAAAAGATTATTTACTGCCAAATTTACGTCCAAATTTGTTCTCTGATGAAAAAAATACCCATTAAAATAAACACTTTTAAAGAGTATGTATACAGGATGTCCCAAAAATGTTGATAACTATAATTTGTTTTTTTAACTTGTCCCTTACGTCATCGATGTAAAATGTATAATGCCGATCAGAGCTGTGCGGTACTCGAGTACTTGTACTCAAATTTTGTACTTTAAGTACTTTTTATGTACTCGGTACTCAGTCCAGAGTACATTTTAAAAAAAGTGCTTGTACTTGTACTTATTTAATTTAAAGATGTAAAAATGGACACGAGTGCATTGGTTGTACTCGAGTACATTTTTTGTACTCGAGTACATTTGATGTACTCAGGCGTAGTGTTAACCTTAGTACCTTTTAGTTAAAATACCTTTTTTCCTTTTTTAAAAAGAATTTTTTTTTTTTTTATTTTTTCTAAATTTTTGCGTTTTGTCCTTTGGAGGAAAACTATAAAGTATATGAGGACCCTAGAAGCCAATGGGTATAAGTACATTTTGTTGTTGTAGTTTTGAGATAATCATGTTTAAAGTAAAAAAACACTTGTAATTTGGAGTCAAAATTTTTGTTATTTTATGACTTTGTTTTTCAAGATGTATAAGCTAAGAATTCAGTTATATGGATACCAAGTAAAATGTACCATTTACTATATTTTTCTGTACATAACTACATTTTTTTTAAATGTCACTTGTATCCCTTGGCTTCTAGGTTCCTCATATGTTCTGATACCCACACAGTAACTATAGTTATATATATGGTAATTACAGAACAAATTAAAGGATTACTGTAAATAATGTTATGATTTTTACACGAAATCCCAGGAATAAATGTACCAACTAAGGTTATAAATTCGTTGCCTGAGGTTATTATTTTGTTATCTTCAGATTAACCTTTTTCTAATTTCGTGGAATTTTTAATTTCTTGTTGCATTACATGGTAGTTTTTTCTTTTTATTATTAATTTTATAGTATATTGTTGTTAATTTGTTAGTTTAAATACATCTGTATTCAAAAACTTTAGTTATGTACTCTGATAAGTACCCTATATTTTGATAAAATCCGTATCAGCCGATTATCAGTATCGGAAAAAAATCCATATCGGCCGATCACTACTACTATATCTTTCTTAATTGGTAGAAGAAAAACCTTAGAATTTCTCAAGGAATTTGCGCTTAAAAGTTTATCTGATGACCATGACCGGAAACCCTGTATAATTGTAATCGAAAATGAAATAACTAATAAAACAAAAATTCAAAATGCTAAGGCTTGACTTTTTAAAGAAAGCAGTTTAGGGCAAAAATTGTATATTAACTATTTTCTTAAAATAGGTTTTAAAATCACCCCCAAGTTCTTTGCTAATTATTCCTGGACACTAGGGTGCTTCAAAAAATAAAATTTAATTTTTTTTTTCGCTCTAACCCTCTCAAATGTTTCAATATAAAAAAAAATCCTCACCAAATATGGGCGTTTCAGCTCAACTCTAAGATGTCGCTGTTTTTATTTTAGTTTCCCATTTAATTAACATGGGAAAAAATAATTTTATGTTTGGAATTTTATACATCTGTATCAAAGTAACTTATGGCAATGATCATTGCAGTTTCTTATTTAAAATGTAACGCTCCACAAAAAAGGTCTCAATATTTTTCGATAAATTGATTTCTTCTAGAGTTATTCGAGATCAAAGTTTGATTAACATCAAGTTTTCTGGTTTTTTTAATTTTATGATACAATTAGCAGACGGGAGGTGAAAGAGGGCAAAACAATGCAGCGGGGGGGGGGGGCAAAATGGGGTACCCAAAAAAAATCGTAAAAAATTTTTTTTAGATTGTTTTTTTTGGTTTCTAAATTATTTAAAAATTGACTCACAAGTTCACGCTTTTAATCGACTATTTTTCAGTTTTCAAATTAATAACTACATATTTATTATGTATGCCCCCTTTCACCTCCTGTCTGCTACCATAAAATTAAAAAAACCAGAAAATTTGATGTTATCAAATTTTGACCTCGAATAACTCTAGAAGAAATCAATTTATCGAAAAATAATAAGAGACCTTTTTTGTAGAGCGTTACATTTTATAAGAAATATAAGTATAAGAAACTGCAATGATCATTGCTATAAGTTACTTTGATACAGAGGTATAAAATTCCAAACATAAAATTATTTTTTCCCATGTTAATTAAATGGGAAACTAAAATAAAAACAGCGACCTCTTAGTTGAGCTGAGACGCCCATATTTGGTGAGGATTTTTTTATATTAAATAGAAACACTTCAGAGGGTAAGAGCGAAAAAAAAAATTAAATTTTATTTTTTGAAGCACCCTACTGGACACCCTAATTTATTTTGACATATTTTAAATTATTTTTTATGTACTTAAATTTCCTAAACGCTCTTAGAGTATTTAAATCTAACTAATGTAATTTCTTACTTGTAGTTCGCGAATTATTAAATTTCGACTTTTTCCTTGTAAAACAACCTGAGCCTGTGAAACAAGCTCTTCAGGCACATATGGAGCTGGTACAGTAACAAGAGGTCTTCCACTACTAGAAGTACTAGTTCCTATTATTACAGGAGCACTTCTACTACCTAAAGTAAAAAGAAAATTATTATTAAAAAAATAAATTTAATTTATTTAAATAAGATTTTAATTTAGAAAATACAAATTTTAATAGTTTTTAAATGTTTGCATTAATTGTATTTTAAAGAAATAAAAATGAACACTACACACTACCAAAAAAAACGAAAAAACTGTTTTTCCCCCAGGCCTTGGAAAAATTGACTTTTGGAGAACATTTTTTTGAAAATTTAAAAATACACCAATTTATTAAAAGGAGCAATATTTATTATTTATTAAACGTTTTTTCCGCCGGCTCAATTTTTCCGAAAACTTTAAAACACTAGTGAGCACAAATGCTGGGATATGGATATTTTAATAGTAAGGACTTAAAAAATTAAAATCGTAGCTGTTTTTGGGGTAAACAAAATATCAATAACAAAACAAATTTTATTAATTCAACACTTGTCTTGTGTGTGTGGTAATTTTGACTTCCCTAAAGGTAATCTTATAAAAGTTACCATTTTCGTAACCACATAATCTAATTAAAAATAATTGAAGGTTTTGCACATTGTATAACCTTAAAACAATAGTATATTGTTTACCGAGCGTTGATGAAAGTTTCCGAACGAGCTGATAGGCAAGGGAAGGAATTCATCAAGGAAAACACAATGCTTGCTGAGTGATGCAAATTTTAATTTAAAATACGATATTTTTAGAAATAAAAATAAAAAAACTTATGAGTATGGGGACATGGCATAAAAAACTTATGTCATATTAATTTAAATCTGACGTTTATATATATGTGACGACGAGTGTGACGTTTACATTCAAAGTCAATCACAATGTGGCGTCATTAATGGTAGCGGGAAAATATTAATTATTCCTTACCAGATAACAGATGTTGCTAGAAAAGGAATAATACACAGGGGAGTAAATATTAACAATAACAAATAGAATTGGCATATTATTAACCATGCACTTGACACAAAAGGTGTTTATCTTAAGAGTTTGTAGGTATTTCGATGGTATTTATTTATTTCTGGGATTGAAGGTCATTATGTATTTTTTTCAGATACCTTATAAAACAAACACCTATAAAATTAAAAAATAATTTTTATAAAATCAAAACTCCTGTTAAATTTTGGCTTAATTTTTGGATATTTTTCTACCTTTTGTATTAAAATTATAATTATAATTGAAATTTATTAATTTGGTAATATTAAAACCATTCAAATAATTTAAACCATATAAATAGTTTTATTTATTTAATTTCAATTTCGAATGAAATTATTTTATTCAATTCATCTCAAATAATTTGTAAATATGCACAACCCTAATACTAGATATAATATATAAGGTTCAAAAACATCTAACATTAAAATTTTAAATTAGTTCAATAAATGTGATCCTTACAAAACTATATTGTATTACAAAATTTTAATTCTTTAAAATTAACACTGTTTTAGTTATTAAATAATTCTTTGGCCAAAACTTACCACTGTTACTACCCCCTCGAATGGCAGTATTGGATCTCATAATTCTGGCTCTAGTTCTTGTAATCTGTCTGCCACTTCCAGCAGGTTTACTACTGCCACTGCCCCCAGCCCCATTTCCAGCCCCAGAACCCCCAGTTCCACCCCCTCCCGAACTTCGCAACATCCAAGATCTACCAATGATGATGAGTCAGTAATGATGTAATGTTATGTAATTTGTACTTACTTTTTGGTGGCATCATTTTTACTCAAATCTAACCTATCTGGTAAAACGTTATAGGAAACACGACAAACATGACCATCATCTAACAGAAGAGCTATATAAGTCGAAGCTAGACATATTTTTTTTACACTTGCACGAAGATTTGATAAGCCAGGATGTGAGTTGTAGCCTAAACGATTTATTCTATCTGCTACTTCCTTTAATCTGCAAAAGTATTTTGTAATGTTAAGATAGCTTATCTGAATAGAGCTAATCCAAGTATGATATATAAGATTACAATGCAATTGCAGTTGTGCATGTATATATTTTATAGAAAGTAATTAAATTAAAGCAACTTTAACTTTGTTTGGTTTAAAAATGTAGAAATTAAAAGTTCAGAGATTCAAATTTAAAATTATCTGTAGGAAACGAAATGATAACGCATTATATCGTTTTTCACGCGTTTCTGGAATAACTTTAAAAAATGCCGTAATAACATTATTATGAACGCATAGGAGTGGCCTCCATTAATCATTCTCCATTTTTAAATAATACAAACGTTCCCTATCGAAAATGGTGGAATGACTGTAATAAGAAATGCATGTTAGAATATTTACCTATCATTGAATTGATCCTCCGTTCCCGGTAAAGGATGAACAACGTATTGTAAAGTTGTCATTTTTTACAATACACCTAACACAACTTTATATATAATGAAATAATTTAATAAGTCTATAAAAACTGAACACATTTTGTCTGCCTCACAAGAAACATTTCGCCATGTTTTCAGTCAGTTGTTGAATAACCCGAAGTTAGTGCGGAACAATGATCTTTTCTTCAATTTTGCCTTGACAGTTTCTATCAAAAATCACCAAAACGAATGACGTGAAGTTTGTCATTTCGCGCCTGTTTTCAAATATCGCCTACTAAAACTTCGGTAAGTGAAACTTTCTTTTTGTTTCAAAATTATTGTTAGACTAAATTATTGAAAAACATGAACTACCCCAACTGTTTTAATTAATCTTTTTTAATAGGGTAATATAATAAAATTATAAATTAAAGTCAAAACTTAATCAAAACAAATGTGTTTAACTATGCAACCAAGAATACAACACAGAACACAATTTAATAAAATACAATTAAAAAAAATGACATGATCATTTTATTAAATAATTAAGCTGTGTTTGTTTTGGTGTTGGGAAATATTTCTAATATTTGTTAACATATCACCAAAGTTGTCCTTTTTCAAGTTTAATTAAGCTATGTTGAATATTTTTCCTACCTATATGAATAATTGCCAATTAATTAATTTGTTCGTAAAGTTAATTTTTTTTATCTGGACTGCGGCAAGTTGGTCGCATTGATTAAAACAAACTAAGCTAGTTATAAATCTAATTGTGGTTATGTATAAATTATTGTAGGTTACATTGTGCAATTGTCAAGTTGAGTTGTCGAAATTCGTAGTTAAAATGCAATTAATTTGGCTTTGGTGGTGCTTGGATGAGTAATCATATAAAAAAAAGTAGTTAAATATAGGTTGCTTCACGGCAGAAGAGAAAGAATTCCTGGCGGATAATAATCTTCGCTTTGAAAAGAATTTATATATAAAAGAAATTAAAAATTTTTGTGAACGTAAATGTTGTACAATGGTGAATAATGTGTGATGTAATTTTTATAAAACCAAATTCGTTACTGTTTTACTCCAAAATTGTCCATAAAGCGATGTACTTTTTCTTCCATTGTGGCATTTGGCATAATTTCATCAAAATGAAGTTTTGCCCTCAAAAATTTTGTAATTCAAAATTGCGCGTTTGTGATTGGTGGAAATTAAGACGAGGGAAATAGTCACCTAAATAGTAGTTTATCAATTGATTTTATTTCATACTGTACTTTAATGTGCCATTTCCCGGACTCATTTGAGTCCGGGAAATGATACATTACATCACTAGGCCGGTAAAGTAACTTTACCGGACTCCTATATTTTAACTAACACATGGTTATTTCTGAACGATTATAAGTTTTTGCGCCATTTACAGAATATCTCGTATTCCTTTTGATATCGTCCGGAAGACTTGACCGGGATAAGTTTCGCCGTCGCTTCAGAACTTTTTTTCAAAATCTCTGCATCCATTTTATTCGAAATTATTCAAAACCACAGATTCAAAAAGATGCTGAAATGATAGACAAGACAATCAATACAAAAAACTCTTTGTTACTGTTAGCAACCGATTTAAAGCATACTACATTATCACCCTAGGGTGATAATGTAGCTATATTACTGGTGCTACATTTTATAGTTTGTTTAGACAATACTGATACCTCATGGTACCTCATGTACTGACACATTACTGACACCTTCACCTGAATATACAGTTCAATTTTTGTACCAAAAATTTGAAAAAAATATTGAATAGTATGAAATAAAACATTGTACGATACACGGCCGTGAAATGTCATTAAAGTACTTGTCTAGAAATTCCAGACTCGGCCATTTCCCGGCCTTGTAACGTAAATTACTATTAAGGTATATTAATATATTAATATTACCTAATTGAAATAAACAAAAATTCCGGGGTTGCAGCTTTGACTTTTCCATTTTCCCCCTCAGAAAGAGTTAAATGTTTTGAAAATGCAAAGAAAATGTTGATATTTTCACCCGATTTAATCTTTTCCCATATGGGTCGTCATGAATGGTAAATAAACAAGATATTAAATTTAAAACCAAATTTTATTTTAACATTTTTAAAGCTTAGAATAATATAATTCATGTACAACCATGTTTGGTTCAATATCGGCGATTGTAGCACAACCTAAAATCATAAAACCATTTAAATAGTAGGTATTTAAAGAAAATTTAGAAAATACATGTTACCTGATATAGCCATAGTGTGTTCAAATTCATTCTTAATAATTTTTAGAATATTTTCAACGCCTTCCTGACCTCCCTGAGTTAAACCCCATAAAGCAGGTCTGCCCATGAACACCATGCGGGCACCCATAGCAATTGCTTTGAAAACATCAGTACCATCTCTTATACCACCATCCAAGTAAATTTCTGCTTTTCCCTGAACCGCTTGAACTATTTCAGGCAAGGCTTCAATCTAATTAAAAAAATATAAATTTGTAAAAAAACTATACCTTCTAACGATTTTAAAATAAGATAAAACGTCTTTATTAAACTTAACATAGTTTATTATTTATTATAATTTATTTTGTAATTCTCAATCAGAAGAATACGGAACTTAAACAAAAAAATTCAATCACAAATAATAATAATTATTATTATTATAATGGGACAAACCGAACACCAACGCGTCTTATGTTCAAATTAACAATACAAATGAATCTGGAGCTATTCGAATACGATCGTATATACGATCGTATTCGAATAGCTCCAGATTCACTTCTTGGTCATACTTAAATGATTTGTACCACTAGTACGTATTGGTATTGTATTGATGCATACTTAGGATACCGCTCCCGGAAGGGGAGAGTTGGTGTCAAACAGGAAGAAGGGAGAACACACTGGACTATATGTCATATAGTATATGATAATACAGCGAACAAACTCGTTAGATAGCGAAACAAAGAGGAAAATGGGAGATACATCTTTACAAACAAGCCAATTAAAAAAAAAGAAATGCCCAAAAGCCCAGGTTATAAGGAAAGCCTTAAGCATGGTCACCAAGATGGCGATATAATTGAAAAAAAAATTGAACAAAACACCAAAAGAGAAATCAAAGAATTATTATCAAAACTCTCAAGATGTTATAAACAGATCCCCGATCCAAGGATGGCTGAAGGCGCCCAGGTTGGAGTAATGCGGATGCGTACTCATAGACAAAACAAATCTGGAAAAGATACAAGATATCAGGAAAAGCAGAAGGTACTTACATATTTACAAACACTAAATGCTCCTATAAATCATCAAAGACATTACCAAGACAATATATAGTAAGAATCTTACTGTAAGATCCACGGAAATACAAATGGATGAGGGCCAAAGAATTTTTGGATCAAATTTCTGGAATTGCAATTCCAGAAATTTGATCCAAAAATTCTTTGGCCCTCATCCATTTGTATTTCCGTGGATCTTACAGTAAGATTCTTACTATATATTGTCTTGGTCTACATCATGATGTAAATTTATGGGGGTTTCGGCATCTTGGAGCAGGAAAATATAATCAATACTAGAACTGTATATATAGGGCAAACAGTAAAGAAGAAAATAGCAAAGTAAAACATATGAACACAAATACATCGTCACCAAATTCACGAAGTGGCGTATATGAAGATTTAAGTTATGCAAAAAAGCAATTTTTTGAAATAAAAGTTTAGCATACTAAACACTTATTCCAGAAATTTGCTTTTTTGCATAACACAAATCTTCCGATACGGGTGTTTGAAGTTTTTTGTTTTGCAAAAAAAACCAATTTTCTGGGATAAACGTTTAAAATGCTAAACGTTTATTTCAGAAAATTGCTTTTTTGTATAACTTAAATCTTCATATACTCCACTTCGTGAATTTGGGGACGACATATACAAAAAAGGTTAAAAAATGCACTGGAAAAGAGCGGATTGCACTGCACCATCTGGAAATACTAGGTGGAATCAATATTTTATGGAAATAAAAACCAAATAATAATTTGCACAAAAGAGGACACGAAAACAAAAAATAAATGGAAACAAAGAAGACATACGCTCTGGTTACAACCAGACAAACAAAAACAAATCGTTCCAAGAAAATTTGAAGGGGGTTAAAAATAGGGAAAGGAATAAAGGGCAACTAAAAGAGAGAAAGGGGTACATCTGATCGCATTTGCAGACGCCAAGCCAAAATAAAGACGCAATTAGAAGAGAAAGCGCAGCACATAGTAGTACAGGTGACAGAAATCCTGAAAAATATGGGGATCGAAGTAGCAGTGGATGTGATCTTAATAGTAAGGAAAAGAGCGGTGCCAGTTAAATATACAGTGGTGTAAACTGTAAACTCAATAAGATATCTTGGAGCCACACTTAATAGGGACCTGCAAATGACGACGAATGTACAAAAAACAACAGAAAAGGTCAGCCAAATGATGACAAAGATCGCGTCAACAGTTCCATTGGGGGTATACCCGCAATCACCTCTATAGGTCTTCCTGATGTTACCGAGACGGAAACAAAGTTGTTAAAAAACTGAAACCGGAAGTGTGAAAAATAGATCTAGAAGCTGTCGACCAAAATCTGCCATTGCTGGAGATGTCGCCCTGAATGTGATATTGCAAGTCCAGGAAGTACCTACAGTTTCTTGTCGGCGGGTTGCCCGAGACAAGTTTATTTAAAAGAGAAAAAATGCATCCCTATAAGGTGAATTTGTTGCAAGAATTAAGTGAGGACGATTTTAATCGTAGGGCTGAGTTTTGTGAAATTTTGATGGAACGTTGTAATCAGAATCTAAATTTCTCAAGAAAATTTTTATTTTCGGATGAGGCCACATTCTTGCTGAATGGTTTTGTTAACCGTCATAACTGCCGCTACTGGTCCCACCAAAACCCGCATTGGAAAGAGGAGACACACACACAGCACCCTCAAAACATAAATGTACACAATAGGACCATTTTTATTGAGGACAATCTAACTGCAGAACAATATTTGAACCTCCTCCAGTCAGATATCGTTTCTGCAGTAAGGGCATCGTACCCTGGAGAAAATAATGAAGTAGACGACACCATTTAGTTCCAGCAAGACAGTGATCCACCAAATTTTGGTTTGGCAATAAGGAGATACTTATCCCAGGTATTTCCGAACAGGTGGATTAGTAGACGAGGGCCAATAGGTCTCCAGACCTAACACCATTGGATTTTTTTATGCTGGTTGCTGGTTTTGTGCGGAGACAACTCGGAGCACACCATATTCAGGTGTGTACGATTTTCAGACATAAAAATACACCCCGAAGACATGTGGAACTGCAATAAACAAGAATAATGTAGCGGACGTAATGAAAAACAGCAAAAAGAATTGGGACGCGGTAACAATAATGCTTGGAAACATAATGAAGATTAAAGAGGCAGAGAAGATATATAGAAAGAACATAAGCAAAAACCTATGCAAGTAAACCCCTGAAGTAATGCCGAAGGACAGTCCCAGAGGGTTATTGGGGGGTTTAGCCGGTAGAAGTCCGGCACTACCTAAACATCATAAGCGGGCGTCGAGGAGGATTTCCTTACAAAAAAAGGCTACACTTTAAGAAAAAATGATAAAATTTCAGGGTGTTGATTAATTTATTTCTTAAAGAATGCATTCTACATTCTACATGTAGACATTTTGCCTAAGTCAAACTGATATATCTGATTGAATAACCCTAACTTACAGAAGCAGGGGTACCATCAACTTGTCTGGCACCATGATTGGAGACCCAAATTCCAGCCACTCCGGCTTCAACTCCTCTTTTGGCATCTGATCCAGTCAAGACGCCTTTTATTACAATAGGCAGCTTTGTAATACTTTTAAGCCATTCGATGTCCTTCCATTGCAAAGTAGCGTCAAAAAGTGCAGAAACGTATTCGTTTAAACCTGAAGATTTAGCTGGCGAATTGTTTATTTTTGTTGCTTTTTCACCATCAAAATTTGCCATCCTGAAATGGTTTATATTTTGCACAAATATATTTGTATACTGTATACAGTTAAAATAAAATAAATTTTTCTACAACCACGCGAAAAGTACAAATTTGCGCTTCCAAAAGAAAGCGCAAAGTTACACTTTTCCGAGGCGTTTTTTTACTTGGCGCTCGCCAAAAATCCTACACTGAGAAAAAAATGGGACAAATAAACTGTGTACCTAATACTTTTATTAGTAGTGAATATATTGTTTATTACCTCTAAATAGTCGAAATAATAACGATAAATATACTTTAGTAAAACTTTATGTGTCGGGAATAAAAATATATTTAGGATAAATAAACTGTACCCTTGTCCCATATTTAAATATTTTTTTTATTTGGGAGCAATAAACTTTTTTCTCAGTGTATGTGTAATTCGAGCGCAAAGTGACATTGCCGCTCTCGCGAGATAGCCGCGTTCTGCTACGCGTCGCGCGTTGAACTTCTCGCTCAGAGCGGCAATGTATCGCTTTGCGCTCTTAATACACAAATAGCTATTTTATACCTTAAATGGCTTGGAAGACTGAACTTATTTCTCATATCAGCTAGACGTAAGCCAAACAATGGGGCATCGACTGTTAAAACAAGAGCTTTAAAACCAGCTTTTTCAGCTCTTTCGACGAGGTTTTTTGTTAATTGTCTATCTTTATAAATATAGAGTTGAAACCATTTTAGAGCTCGTGGAGCTGCTTGGGCCACTTCTTCTATACTACTTGTTGAAATGGTACTTAAAGTAAACACCGTTTCTAAACCCTGTGCAGCTAAAACATATTAATGTTTTAAAATTGCGTCAAAAAGGTTAAAAAAGTGTTTCCTTACCTCGGACATTGGCACATTCGCCCTCTGGATGGGCCATCCTTTGCATCGCAGTTGGGGCTATACCGATTGGCATGGATACTTTTTGTCCCAACACGGTGGTGCTTAGATCCCTTTTTGATACATCTTGAAGGCATCTTGGACGAATTTTGTATCTAAAAAAATATTTATTTTAATTATAATGTGTATAATTATAATTAAGTTAAATTATATGTATACGATACAAACAATTAATATTTAATTTATGAATTCACACTAACAATTAAATAATTATTAAACCGACCTGAGATACTGACACAACTATAATGGTTTGATTAAAATGCTTTTCTTTTATAAATATATTTCTTATCTAGATAATTATCTTAATTAATTTTTTAAATGACAATAGTATGACTACTCAGCATAATATGCTATATATTATATTTATTAAAACCAGCTTTGAACCAGTAAAAATTATCAATTGATTAATTACACTAGTAAACAATAAAAAAGGTCGGTAATAAAAATAGCTCAGTCCTATAGATTTTGACCTGCTCGACGCAAATCCGGCGCCCAAAAAATTTTCTGAAGTCACGTGTAGACGATAAGGGCAGGACCATGATACAAAGAAAAATTGTTAAATAATAACGATAAAAATTAGTAAATAAAAAAGGTCGGTAATAAAAATAGCACACTCCTATAGATTTTAACCTGCTCGATGCAAATCCGGCGACTAAAAAATTTTCCAAAGTCTCGTTTAGACGATACGGGCAGCACCATGATACAAAGAAAAATTGTTAAATAATAACGATAAAAATTAGTAAATAAAAAAGGTCGGTAATAAAAATAGCACACTCCTATAGATTTTGAACTGCTCGACGCAAATCCGGCGACCAAAAAATTGTCCCAAGTCTCGTTTAGACGATACGGTCAGCACCATGATACAAAGAAAAATTGTTAAATAATAACGATAAAAATTAGTAAATAAAAAAGGTTGGTAATAAAAATAGCACACTCCTATAGATTTTGACCTGCTCGAAGCAAATCCGGCGACCAAAAAATTTTCGAAAGTCTCGTTTAGACGATACGGGCAGCACCATGATACAAAGAAAAATTGTTAAATAATAATATAACGATAAAAATTAGTAAACAAAATAATTTGAACGATAAAAAACAGTAAACATAAAAAAAACATGCCTTAAATTATTACAATATGTACAGATATGTTGTTCATGGAATGCTGAAACATAAGTTAAAAGTAACGTCATCTTAAAATTTTCAAATGGTGTATCTATGCAATAAATGGTACCAAAATACTGTGCTCCTATTTTTTATTTACGACTTCAGAATTTTTTTTTAAATACATTTTGGATCTATTTCAGTCACAATGAATGTTTAAACAATCGAAAAATTCTATTTTCAACCAGGACCTTTTTTTTTAGTTAAAATTTGTTGCCTAGTGTTACCATACATTTTACGTATACGTATACGTAAAATATATGGTATAGGCAAAATAAATTAATACATTATTTATTTACTTTAATTATTTTTTTGCGTCCCTCAAGTAAATATGATATCTGCTAGAATCCCGAATTCGTGGACAAAACTCACAAAGTATTTTTTACCTGAAATTTTGTAGGGTCGCTGATTACGAATATGAATTCAAAAATCCAGAATTCAAAATGGCTTATCCAAAACGGCGAACTTTTTTTTCTGTTTTTAGCTTTAGTTAACAATTATTCTAGTTGTTTTTTGAAAAATTGAAAACTGTACACTTATAACTTTTCAATTCTCAAAACTTTTAAGTTAAAACATACCATACCTACATATATAATAATTTTTAAATCTTTATTTTTTTATGTTAATGTACAGTGTACATTGTACACAGAGGTATACTTCTGTGTAATGTACATATTTACCCAAATTTTTATTATAGCATATAAGCACTTGGTAATAAAAAAAATAAGATTTTTTTCCAACACGCAGTTTTTGAGATAAAGGTAGATAAGTGTTAAGATTTGTCTATTACGTAAAATGTCAATAAATTGTATTTTGGATGATGAAATCTGCATCGCTCTAATAAATATATGTATTGTTTTAATGTACTAGGCACATAACTGTTATGTTTTAAGTTTTAAGGGTCTTTAAGTCTATTTTAAGAATCGCAACGATTTCGTATTTTTCTACTATACTCTCTAAAAGTGAAACAGTGAAATTTTCACTATTTCCGTCAGTGAGTTATTATTCACTGTAAAATTAGTGATTTTCAATATAAATTAGTGAAATTTTAACTTCCTTAAATTTTAACTTTTTTGAACTAAACCTATTTCACTAATTTGTACAGAAATCGCTACATGAAAAAGTAAGTATTCACTAATTGCTAGTGGTATACTTATCACTGCGGCAAATAGTTAATATGCACTGTCAATCAGTGAAAATCCACTGTTTTATTTTTAGAGAGTAGGTATTTAAATCTATGTATTCAATTTTTACATTTAATAAATATATACTAATTTACTTTAAACTCAATTGAAGCTTTTTTGTACTAATAAAACTTCAACCCGTTATGGGCCACATTTGGCGTTTTCAACTTAAAAAATATATAATCTTCCAAACATTTTTTTTTTAAATAGTGATAATATTAGCTTTACTTTGCAAGAAAAATTAAAATCGCGTATGTAGCCGTTGTGAAGATATACACTTAAATGTATTTTTTATAAATTAATTTGCAATAGTAAGCTTAGTCTCTGTGTATCGCCTCTTGTGTTGAGGTTTTTTGGACATTTTTCTATTTCAATGGCTTCACTGATGGTACGTTTGGTTCTGTATTCGATGCTAGCCAAGACCCTTGTTTTTTTTAAGTCAATTTTCCAATATAGCCAGCAATAGCAAACTTATTCATGGAAGACATAGTAGTATGAGCAATTGAAACGGCAACACTAAAATCAAAGTTATGGCTACGATACGTAGAAGACACATTTGTCATCTGGACCCACGGAGAAGAGGAACTGAAGAAATTCCTGGACCATCTCAACAGAATTCCAAAATGGTTAAGTTCACAATGGAAACCGAGAAAAACACCAATTACATTTTCTGGATGTCTTCATAATCAAGAAAAATAGTGGCAAACTTGGGCAGAAGCACAGATGTGGATGATGACCACAAGAAACAAGAAGACCTGAAAATCCAAACGAGGCTACAGCAAAACGAATTCTCCAAAACCATCATCAAAAAGGCTCTTAGACCACGACGCCGGTTAAATACCAAAGAGGACTATAGTACAACAAACCAACTTCGTAGACCTTCCTTCCCTACGTGAAAGGGACAACCGAGAGAGTAGGCAAAGTTCTCAAAAAACATAACATTGAGACAACATTTACCGCCCCTAAAAAGATCGGTCAAATACTTCCAAATGCCAAACCAAAAATAGAGTTGGAGGCACAAGGGGTGTACGAAATTCCTTGTAAGAATTGTGACGGAAGCTACGTGGGACATACCAATAGACGTATCAACGTTAAACTCGAAGAGCATCGTAACGCAGTCTTGGCTAGCATCGAACACAGGGCCAAGAACTCAACACAAGAGACGATACACAGAGACTACCAAGTGCATAAAAACCAGCTCTCACAACCACTAAAACGCCACGCAAATTAACGAGATTAATGTTCTGCTTTAGGTTTTCACGGGCGTTATATGTATTGATGGTTTTCCTGGATCTGCTTTGTGTTGTCGGTTTTTGTTTCTTAAAAGAACCGTATATCTGATGACGTTTCGGTACAATCTCATGTACCCTCTTTAGGTCTTATCTACTAGGCTGCTGTTGCGGCTCTGCTGCTTTAGGTTTCCACTGGCGTTATATGTATGAATTCGCAGCAGAGCAGCAACAGCAGCCCAGCACATAAGTCCTGAAGATGGTAGATAAGATTGTACCGAAACGTCGTCCGACATACGGTTCATTTAAGAATTAAAAACCGACAACACGGAGCAGATCCCGGAAAACCATCAATATTTATATATAGGTATATATATATATATATATATTTATATATAGATATATATATAGATATATATACATATATAGCGAATTGCTGTGGTATTTTTCACTAGAACACATGTTAAGCTTACTGTTGCGCATTAATTTATAAAAAAAATACATTTAAGTGTATATCTCCACAACGGCTACATACGCGATTTTAATTTTTCTTGCAAAGTAAAGCTAATAATATCACTATTTAAAAAAAAAATGTTTGGAAGATTATATATTTTTTAAGTTGAAAACGCCAAATGTACCAACGTGGGGCACAGCACGCTTCCACTGCGCAAATTAGTATATCGAATACTAATTTGTTGCAACGGTTACGTTTACGGTTAATTCACGGTTTTCGATATTATACGGTTAACCGTATATATACGGCAATACCGATTTTTTATCGAACGCCTGAATTCCACGATAGCGAGGTCGCCCGCCGACGCGTCGCGACGTCACAGTCGACGCGTCGTACGTCGCGACGTAGCGCGGTCTTCACGTAGCCAATAAGAATAGTCCTGTCCACCTGCTACCTGATGAACACGTGACTCTCTGAGGCTTTGTTTTTGTTTATTCTATTTCGGCGGTGAATTTATTTAAGTTTTTTGTTTACTCTGTTCCATCCGTCAGATAAATCAGGTTCCAGCACTTGAGAAGGCACCACGCGAGAGCGCCAGCTCTTAAAACGTAAAAGTATAAAGATTAAAACCAACAATAATTTGCAATGTGCAAACCAATTATAGTGAAACAAACAATTTTCATAGAGTGCAAACTAAAATGATGCAACGGTCAATGAGGAGTGAAGTGTTAAGTGATGAATGAGTTAAGTGCCACCTGTCATTGGACGCTTTTCACTGGACAAACAAAGGAGGTCAAACAAGAGAAGAGGTGGCCATCCGCAAAAAATTGATAAGTAATTTTATGCATATGCATCACCTAACACATAATCTGCAAATTAAACACGACAGATATCTTTAAAACCCTAAGAAAGGCACACTGCGTAGGACATTAAATCTGTCAACAATAAATGCATAAGGCAAACCCAAAAGAGACCAATAATAAACACTAGACACACAGAATAAACTAACACATTAATCATTATAACCCTAACATAGTAAAAAAAGCATAATAACCAAACTCTACTGGATT